CCGGACAACACCGTTGTCTCCAGCAAAGGCAGCAAAAGCTGGGTCGACCCGATTGTCGGCATGGGTTATCGGGGAGATTTAACTGATCGTCTTGAGTTGGTTGCCACCACTGATATTGGTGGGTTTGGCATCGCCTCGGATCTGTCCTGGTCAGCAACGGCCATGTTACGCTATCACTTCTCCGAGCGATTCAGCATGTCCGGCGGCTATCGCATACTTGATATCGACTACGAAGAAGGCCGCGGTAATCGCAAGTTTGGTTACGACGTTGATACGTCTGGCCCGGCAATTGCGTTGGCCTGGCAGTTCTAAATGCTGACTCTTCGCTTAAGCGCATCGCTGTTTTGCATCCTGCTCTTAGCTGGCGGCTGCGCATCCGATGAAGCCAGTGTAGAGGATTCCAGTGTATCCAACTCGGCGCCCGTTACTGCGGCGGAACTGGCATCAGCCAGCTACACAGGACTCTTCGCCGCGCCGATTCGCCTGAATGACGGAAAATTTGTCGGCAAAACCTATGCACCAGGCAGCACCACGCGCCCCGTTGCAGAACTTGTCACGGCACTGCAGTTGCATGGCGACCTCAATGGCGACAATCTGACGGAAGCTCTGGTGCTGTTGACCACTAGTTCAGGTGGCACGGGCACCTATACCCACCTCGCCCTGATGGGTCGACGAAACGGACAACTTGAAAGCCTGGACACTGTACTGCTGGGTGATCGCGTGCAGGTTCGCAACCTCAAATCAGACGGTGCCATGGTTTTGGTTGAACTGGTTGAACCCGGCCCCGAAGAGGCTGTTTGCTGCCCGCAGTCGGTTGTTCAACAGCAGTTTCAACTGATTGATGATCGCCTGCTTTTCCAACGGAAGGTTGAAATAGACAGGCTCTCCCTCGACATGCTCAAGGGCGTAACCTGGGATCTCGTACGTTTGAATGTCCATGAAACCGATTTGCCGCCTGGCACCGTTACTCTGGAAGTCCGCGACCAGCGTTTTGCTGGCTCGAGTGGTTGCAACCGCTATCAGACTTCTGTAACGGGAACTGACGCCGGCAGCCTTACGCTGGGGCCGATTGCAGGCACCATGATGGCCTGCGGCTCACCTCAGGACGAGCTGGAAACCCGTTACCTCGCGGCACTCCAGAACGTTCGACGCATGGGTTTTGTCTTTGGTCAGCTTGCGCTCACCTATGACGGCGAAAACGGTACAGATCAGCTGATTTTCAGCAGGCAAAACTCTACCGAGTAACACACATACGGACCTCCACCGGCCAAAAGTGACCGACGCTCTTGTCTGACGGTGACCGCAACGCCCGTTGTATAACAGCGCCACCCTGGGCTAGGCTTGCCGCACACTCTATTCAGGATAACTGCACTTTGCTCCGAATCGCTTTTGCCTGCTTGTTTTTGCTTGTATCCATTCTGAACACCCCTCATACCGCGGCTGCCACGCCGCATGAAGGATATGTTGGTGGTCAAGCCTGTGCGAGCTGCCATGAACAGGAAAGCATCGCATGGCAAGGTTCACACCATGACCTGGCGATGCAGCTGCCCACTGCACAGGCGGTACTTGGCGATTTTGATGACGCTGAATTTACAGTTGCAGGTGTGACAACCCGCTTCTACCGGGATGGCGAACGCTTCATGATTCGCACAGATGGCCCGGATGGTGAGCTGCAGAGCTATGCGGTCAGCTATACGTTTGGCGCAATACCCCTGCAACAGTACCTCATCGCCTTACCCGGCGGGCGCCTGCAGGCTTTTGGAATTGCATGGGACAGCCGGCCGGAGCAAGCTGGTGGCCAGCGTTGGTTCCACCTGTATCCTGACGACACACCCAAGCCTGGCGATCGCCTGCACTGGACGGCCATCGATCAGAACTGGAATCATATGTGTGCCGACTGCCACTCCACCGATCTGCAGAAGCGCTTTGATGCGCCCAGTAACACCTACGCAACCAGCTACGCGGAAATAGACGTGAGTTGCGAAGCCTGCCACGGTCCAGGGGCAGACCATATTGCCTGGGCCGGCCAAATTGAACGTGATGATAATCCAAGGTTGGCTATTCGTTTGAACGAACGTGACGGCGTGTCATGGCTACCACATGAAAAATCGGGCCGTCCTCAGCGCAGCGAACCGCTCACCAGCAGCTTGGAAACAGATACCTGCGCGCGATGTCATTCCCGGCGCGGCAGGCTGGTAGACAACTATCAGCACGGCCGTCCTGTCGGTGATCACTACCGGCTGGCGACACTTGATCCGGGCTTGTACTACCCGGACGGACAGATCCTCGAAGAGGTTTTTGTACACGGCTCGTTTGTACAGAGCCGCATGCACGCTGCAGGCGTCACCTGCAGTGATTGTCACGACCCTCACTCTCTCGAGCTGCGGATTCCCAACGATGGCACCTGCCTCAGCTGCCACAGCGTTGGTGACTATGCGCTACGCTCCCATCATCACCATGCGCCAGCCAGCGAAGCCGCCCGTTGTGTTAATTGTCATATGCCGGAAAAAACCTACATGGTTGTGGACCCCCGGCGGGATCATAGCTTCCGTATTCCACGACCTGACCTGACGCAGTCCATGGGTGTACCAAACGCCTGCAACCAGTGCCACACCGATGAAACAGCCGCATGGGCCACTGCACAGATTGCTCGCTGGACCGATGGCAAACCCGCAGAAGGTTTTCAACAGCACGGCTGGGCCATGCATCTCGCTCAGCAGGGGTTGCCTGCAGCGCGCGATGCGTTACTGGGTGTGGTCCAAGACCCTGAACAATCGGCCATCGCCCGGGCCAGCGCCATTGTCGCGCTGGAGGCCTGGCTGGACCAGGGTGTTGCGCAGATTGTTATCGAGAACCTGACCGATCCTTCACCACTGGTGCGGCGCGCCGCGGTCGAGGTGATGTCTTCAGCACCGGAACAGGTCCGCGCTGAGCTGTTGCCACCGATGTTGCAGGATGCCGTGCGCGATGTCAGGTCTGCTGCGGTCATCGGACTTGCCGGATTACCGCCCGGAGCCCTGACGCCCTCTGCAGCCAGCACCTTTGGACGGGCGCTGACTGATTATCGCGCGACGTTAGCACTGGATGCGGACCGGCCTGAAGCGCAGGTCAGTCTGGGGGTACTACTGACCCAACTGCGCGACATCGAAGGTGCTGAAGCCGCCTATCGTCAGGCGTTGAAACTGGAACCTGCGCACGCACCTGCTGTGGTGAATCTGGTCGATCTGTTTCGAGCCACCAACCGTGGCGCCCAGGGCGGTGAACTGCTGATGTCCGCGCTTACCCTCAATCCGGAAGCGGCAGATATCCATCATGCATTTGGCTTGTGGCTCGTGCGCCAGCAACGTCCAGATCAGGCACTGGTTGCGCTGCAACGCGCTGCAACGCTGGCACCGGAAGTGGCTCGCTATGGATATGTGCTTGCGGTTGCCTTACACGGACGCAATCAGATTCAACCAGCACTGAATGCTTTGGACCGGGTGTTGGAGCAACACCCCTATCATGCGGAAAGTCTTACGGCTGCTGTGTTCTGGCGACAGCAGATAGGTGTCGATGGTGGTGAGTATGCCCAGCGTTTACTTGAGTTGCAGAAGCTCTACCGAGGCAGCTGAGCGGCCATCACATGGGGTTAAGTTAAACTGAGATAATTGCCTTTACCGAACTTTCGATCAAGTGCGCGGCTGCGTGCCAGCAGCTCAGTCTCAATACGGTGCACCTCTGCCATGTATCGCTCAGCCAGCTTTTCAGGAGGGTGTTCAAGCAGATGAATGAAGCCCAGATCAAGGTGCAGGCCTGGAATCCTGCACGGGACCAATGCAACCTGACCCTGCTCCAACAGATCGCCAATTAATGCCAGCGGCGCAAAGGTAACTGCATTGCTGACCGCAATAAGCTTCAGCACAAGACCCGGGTTAACTGTATTCAGGACCGGCAACCACTCGCCCGTCAGCTCATCCAGATAGGCACCGCGCTGAGCCTCGACCTTAATTCGTTTTGGTTTGCGCACCCCAATAACCTGATAATCGAAGATGTCCTTGGTTGAGGGGTTTCGCAGCCTCTGCAGCGGATGATCGGGCCTCGTATAACAATATAAAGGCCAGCGATGCGTAGGCAGGCAGTGGATGCGCTCCTCCTCACGCGCCGCCGCCAGATCACAGAACCCCAGATCAATCCTTTGAGCCAGAATATCCTGGGTGATTTCACGATAGTCACCGATGCGCAGCTGGCACAGCAGGTCACCACTGGATCCCACCAAACACGATGCAGCCGCGAGCCCTGACTGCTCAGCAGGAAAAGCACCCAGCCCGATACGAATTTCACCTTCATCTGCAGTAGCATGCCGATCAAGTTCAGCCAGCAAAGTCGCTCGCTGACGCAACATCTGCTCTCCATGCAACGCAACAATTTCGCCTTCAGGGGTAAGTCTGACGCGCCCCCGACTGCGCAACAGAAGTTGCTTACCCACTTTTTTCTCCAGCGCCTGAATACTGCGTGTCAGCGCGGACTGAGAAATATGCATTTCCTCAGCCGCGCGCCCGAAATGACCGTGACGCAGCACCGCTAGAAAATGGCTGATATGGTTCAAATCGATCATACAGATCCCGGAGGTTGATCAGATTAACGTAATGAGATTTTTGCATCTTACAATAACTACAATGCAATTGACGTAAAAATCAAACCCCATTACTGTGAGCGACGTGGGAACTGTTCTATCTTGCGGTGCCCTTCAGACAGAGGGCGTGGCACGAAGCCAGCCTCTGCGAAAAATCGCCGGATCGCGAGCAATCTTCACATGTACATCACAATCGCAGTGTCGCCGTTAGGAGGCCTACGACTGATATCTTTCTAGAAAACCGGAGCTATGAATGAAAAATAACGTCAGCCCAAGTTGGGTTCGATGCGTATTCGGATTGACCCTGCTGCTTGTCTCCTCGACAGCCGCCGCAGCCGTCTCAGATAAACCTAACATTCTCATCATCTGGGGTGACGATGTGGGTTGGATGAACACCAGCGCATACAACCGCGGCATGATGGGATACCGCACGCCTAATATCGACAGCATTGCCCAGGAAGGCGCGCTGTTCACCGATTGGTATGGTCAGCAAAGCTGCACCGCTGGACGGGCTGCTTTTGTTACAGGACAGAGCCCATTCCGAACCGGCCTGCTGAAAGTTGGCCTCCCCGGCGCTAAAGAAGGCCTTTCTGAAAAAGATCCAACCATTGCTGGGCTGCTGAAAAATCATGGCTACATGACCGCACAATACGGCAAGAACCACCTGGGTGATCTCGACGAACATTTGCCCACCAACCATGGCTTCGATGAGTTTTTCGGCAACCTCTATCACCTGAATGCAGAAGAAGAGCCGGAAAGCCCCGACTATCCTCAGGGTGCCGAGTTCAAGAAGAAATTTGGGCCTCGAGGCGTTATCAATTCAACTGCTGACGGAAAGATCGAAGACACGGGTCCTCTAACCAAGAAACGTATGGAAACCGTTGACGAAGAAGTCACCGCAGGCGCCCTTGATTTCATGGATCGTGCTGTCAGTGCTAACAAGCCTTTCTTCCTGTGGTGGAACTCCACACGCATGCACGTCAACACCCACCTCAAAGCCGAGTCTGAAGGCGTAACCGGGCTGGGCATTTACGCAGATGGCATGGCTGAACATGACACCCATGTCGGTCAGCTCCTCGACAAACTCGATGAGCTGAAAATTGCTGACAACACCATCATCATGTACTCCACCGACAACGGCGCGGAAATCTTCACCTGGCCGGACGGTGGCATGACACCTTTCCGCAATGAGAAAAACTCAAACTGGGACGGTGGTTATCGTGTACCGACCATGATCAAGTGGCCTGGCGTGATCGATGGCGGCACCGTCTATAACGACGTCTTCTCCCATGAAGATATGCTGCCAACCATTATGGCTGCAGTCGGCGAAGCTGACATCAAAGAAAAATTGAAGAAAGGTCATCGCGCCATTGGCCGGAACTATAAAGTCCACCTGGACGGCTACAACCTTCTACCTTACTTCAAAGGTGAAGTTGAAGAAGGTCCGCGCAAAGAGTTTTTCTACTGGACCGATGACGGCCAGCTGGCAAATCTGCGATATGACCGCTGGAAAATGGTCTTCATGGAACAGCGAGCGCATGGCTTTAATGTCTGGCAGGAGCCGATGGTGACACTGCGTCTACCTAAGCTGTTCGATATGCGGGGCGACCCCTTCGAACGCGCTGACCATGAAGCAGCCGGTTACGACATGTGGCGTTTTGATCGCGCCTACCTGATTCTCCCGGCGGTGGATTATGTCGCTCAGCACCTGGCAACCTACCGGGAATTCCCGCCACGTCAGGAGGCAGGCAGCTTCAACCTGAACAAAGTCCTCGAGACCTTGCAGAGCAACCCGGGAACAAACTAACGTTTCCCGGTGAGATAAAAGCCAGGCGCTATGCGCCTGGCTTTTTTATTCTGATAGCATGAACAACCAATCAAAAGCGATAGATTAGAGCACAACTTGATCCACTGACATCGCTAACCGAAACCACAGATGCCATGCATCTGCATTTCCCAACGAGATGGAATTATGGACAGTCGACAACAGGTTAATCAGCTTCGCGAGCGCGTCTGCGCTTCAATCATCGGTCAGGAAGACATCGTAGATCGCCTGATCATCGGCTTGTTAGCCAACGGTAACCTGCTCATCGAAGGGCTTCCGGGACTTGCGAAAACCCGCGCGGTTAAAAGCCTGGCAAAAAACCTGGCGGCAGATTTTTCCCGTATTCAATTCACACCCGATTTATTACCCGCAGACATCACGGGTACCGAGGTACTGCACACAACGGATGCCGGGCACGAATTCAGATTTGATCCAGGACCTATTTTTGCCAACATTGTACTGGCGGACGAAATCAATCGCGCGCCCGCCAAAGTGCAAGCTGCGCTGCTTGAAGCCATGGAAGAACGCCAGGTCACCGTAGCCGGCACCACGCATAAAATGCCGCCCCTGTTCACGGTGATGGCAACCCAGAACCCTGTTGAGCAGGAAGGCACCTATCCCCTTCCTGAGGCGCAGATGGACCGTTTTCTGATGCATATCTATATCGACTATGGAAACGAAGCGTCTGAGGGGCAGATTATTCGACTGGTCCGTGGCGAAGAACATCCCGAACAAAACAAAATCGCGGGTGAGGACAATACATCCCCTGCCCGACCTGAGCCGATTCCTCAGGAAGCGGTGTTTGCCGCTCGCGATGAAATCAGTGTGGTCACCGTCAGCGACATTGTGGAACGCTATATGGTGGATATTATTTTTGCCACCCGCTATCCCGAACGCTACAACGAAGATCTGCGACGCTGGATACAGATCGGCGCCAGCCCACGCGGCGCGCTGGCACTTGATCGCTGTGCCCGCGCCAAGGCCTGGCTGGCCGGTCGCGACCACGTCTTACCCGAAGACGTACGCGACATGGCTCACGACTGCTTGCGCCATCGCCTCACCTTAAGCTACGAAGCCAGTGCAGACGGACTTTCCGCCAACAACGTTATCGATCAACTGCTGGACCAGGTTGCCGTCGCTTAGCGCGCAGGCCAATACAACGGAACCAAGGACATTTCTATGCACGCTAAAAGAATCATCAACACTCTGGTACTGGTCACTTGCCTGCTGACGGGCCAGGCTTTTGCAGCTGACAACACCACCAAGCCGCGACTTGTGCTGCAAATCACCGTCGATGCGCTGCGCGGGGATCTACCCACACGATATGCACACGTCCTGGGTGAAGGCGGTTTCCGTTACCTGATGGATGAAGGCATTCGCTACACCAATGCACACTATCAGCACGCCAATACAGAAACGATTGTTGGCCATGCCTCACTGGCCACCGGCACCACGCCCTCTGTCCACGGTATGGTGGCCAATGTCTGGTTTGATCGCGATCAGGACAGGCTGGTGTACAACATCGAAGATGCAAACTACCGCCTGCTGACACAAGGCGCTGACGTCGACGCCAGTACTGAAATTGACCCGACTCAGAAAGCAGCCAAAGTAGAGGGACGCTCGCCTGCTGCCTTGCTGACATCCACCTTCAGTGACGAACTTGCCATGCATTTTGCCGGCCAGTCCAAAATTTTTGGCGTTTCCGTAAAAGACCGCGGTGCCGTGTCCCTGGCTGGCCACGCAGGTAAAGCGTTCTGGTTCTCCAAAGCCACCGGCGAATTTGTAACCAGCACCTATTACTACGAGCAATATCCCGACTGGGTAAAGACATGGAACGCGCGCAAACCGGCTCAGGCTTACGCGGGTAAAACCTGGTCACTGTTGAACAAACCCTCTACGTACCTGTTTGGTGATGCTGACAACCGTGAGTACGAAACAGACTTTCCAGGCTTTGGCCGCACTTTTCCTCACGCTTATGGCGCTGGCGACGATAAGTATTTCACCACGCGGCTGACGCTGAGCCCTGCCGGCGATAAGCTGACCCTGGATTTTGCCAAGAAGCTGTTGATAGAAGAAAAACTTGGACAGGATGACGTGCCTGATTATCTATCCGTCAGCTTCTCGTCCACAGACTATGTCGGGCATGTATTTGGTGCTTCCAGCCTGGAATCCGAAGACAACCTGGCACACCTCGATCGCACCTTGGCCGACCTGTTGGCTCATGTCGACAAACATGTTGGTCTGGATAACACGCTTATCGTGTTATCCGCAGATCATGGACAGCCCGAGGTACCCGGGTACCTGCATGAAAGAGGCATTCACACGGGCCATTACTTCGATACCGAAGCACTCGATCGAACACCTGCCATCCAGGCTTTGAAGGCCCGTTTTGATATCGGCGAGGAACTTATCGAAGCATTTTACCAGCCCTACATTTACCTGAATCGGGAATTGATCAAAGAAAAAGGGTTGGATCAGCGAACCGTAGAGGAAGCTGTAGCCGAAGAAATGCTTAAATTCAAAGGCGTCGCTGCAGCGGTTTCAGGCACCGCGCTGCGCAGTGCGGAACTGCCCGACAGCATGATCAACACAGCGGTGCTCAATAACGCGCACAGCAAGCGTTCCGGCGATATCTATCTCGTCTTTGAACAGAGTGTTTTCATCAACGACTTTGATGGCCTGATTGTGGCATCGGTACACGGCTCGCCCTGGCGCTACGATACTTTTGTGCCGGTAATTTTTGCAGGGGCCGGTCTCACGCCCATGCACGTGAGCCGCCCTGTTACACCTTATGACATAGCCCCAACCCTGGCTGCCTTTCTTGGTATAAAACCACCTTCCGGCGCCACAGGTAATCCGCTACCCGAGGTGCAGGGTGACTGATACTTCAGGCCACTGAGATGACACAGTACACCCGCGTCAAACCCAAGGCTGCCGCACCAGGTCCAGACTCGCGCGTGTATGCAGACCTGGACGAACTGGTTCGACTGCAGTTCGCCGCCCAGGGTTTCAGTTTTCTGCCGCGACAACCTGTACACAGCGTTCTTTATGGTCGTCACGCTTCGCGATTGCGTGGCCGTGGTCTTAACTTCGAAGAGTTGCGTGCTTATGTACCCGGTGACGACATCCGCAACGTCGACTGGAAGGCAACAGCCCGTGCCGGAGAACCGACCCTGCGGGTCTACACGGAAGAGCGTGATCGACCTGTCTGGTTGCTTGTGAACCAACGGCAAAGTATGTTTTTTGGCTCTAAAGAACGCACCAAGTCAGTCACCGCGGCAGAAGTGGCCGCGCTCACCGCCTGGCGCGTGCTTGGCGCGGGGGATCGTGTTGGTGCGCTGGTGTTTGATGATAACGATATACAGATGATCCGGCCGCAGCGCAGTCGCGATCAGGTCATGCGTGTACTCGGTGCCATTGTCAAAAAGAATCATCAGCTCAACGCTGATAATCCGCAGACGGCCAACCCAGCAATTATCAGCCAGGTGCTTGAGCGGCTCAGGCCCCATGCCAAACACGATTGCCTGATCTGTATGATCGGTGACGGCAGCGGTTTCGACGAACGGGTCCAGGATCAGGTTACCGAGCTGAACGCACATAACGACCTGATCTTCGCCATGATATACGATGCTTTCGAAGCTGAATTACCCAACGCGGGACCGCTGACAGTCAGCGATGCAGCACGCCATTTGCTGTTTGACAGCGGCAATCGCAATCTGCGCGATCGTTATAAAGCGGATTTTGAGGCAAGACTTGAGACGCTGAAAGGTTTGTCTCGCAAACGCGCTATACCACTGCTGCCCATCAGCACCGAAGGTCCGGTTGCGGAACAGGTTCGCGCCCTGCTTGGACCCCAGGATAGGGGGCGCCGTGTCTGAGACCACCGACCCTGGCAGCCTCAGTCGGCTGCACGATATTGTGCTTCCAGATCCCGTCTTCTGGTGGCCACCCGCGCCCAGTTGGTATGTTTTAGTCACCTTGTTACTACTGACACTTGTACTGGGTACCTGGTGGGGGTGGCAGCGATGGCAGGCGCGAAGGTATCGGCGTCAGGCACTTGATGAACTGCGAGTGCTGCGCGAGCGGAACGATGACCCGAAATCAGCCGCGACTCAAATACTCATTATCCTCAAGCGCACGGCACTGGTGGGTTTTCCTCGCGCGGAAGTTGCGCGCCTGAGCGGTGGGCCCTGGTGGGCATTTCTCGACCGTACTGGGGCTGATACAACTTTTGCATCCGACTTTGGCCCCCTGGCGACAGAATTGGCTTACGGTATTGAGCAATCCCTATCCGCTGATGAGCAACAGTTGAACGCTTTGTTCAGCGTCGCAGAACGCTGGATTGTCACACATCAGACACCAGGCAAAGACGCATCTCATGCTGCAGTTTAGCCACATCTTTGTGCTGCTCCTGCTACCCCTGCCGTGGCTGTCAGCGCGTTTGTTATCCCAATATCGAGAGCGCCGGCTTGCCGTACGCGCGCCTTTCCTCGACCGCCTGGCACAACTCACTGGCCAGACGCCGGCAGCACCAACAGGCCAGCTCAGTGCCGCCCGTGGACAGCGATTACTGCATTGGGCAGTCTGGGCACTGGTTCTGATCGCGTTGGCACGGCCGCAATGGCTCGAAGAACCACTGACACAGACGTTACCCATGCGTGACCTGCTGGTGGCCATCGACCTGTCTGGTTCAATGGCAACTGAGGATTTCGCAGATGCATCCGGTGCGCAGGTGGCACGTTTAACCGCGGTTAAATCCGTGTTAAGTGAATTTCTCAAACGACGCGAAGACGATCGGATCGGCCTGATTGTGTTCGGTTCAGCAGCCTTTGTGCAGGCACCCTTCACTGCCGACGGCACATTGCTGCAGGACATGCTGGCTGAAACCGAGGTCCGCATGGCAGGTCCGCGCACTATGCTTGGCGATGCGATCGGTCTCGCAATCACCCTGTTTGACCGCAGCGACGTCGAAGAACGCTTGCTCATTGTGCTGACCGACGGTAACGACACCGGCTCAATGGTGCCGCCACAGCGTGCCGCAGAAATTGCTCGAGACAAAGACATTCTCATCTATACCGTCGGCGTGGGCGACCCCACCGCAGTAGGCGAGGAATCTCTTGACGAGGTAGTTCTGGAAAGCGTTGCGGGTACCACCGGCGGACGCTATTTTCACGCCGCTGATGGCGTTGAACTGGAAACTATTTATGCCGAACTGGATCGATTAAACCCGCGCAAGGTAGACACCGTCAGCTTCAGACCCAAGCAGGACCTGTTCCATTGGCCGCTGGCGCTGGCCATGCTGTTGACGCTGTTGTACTACGGTAGCCAACCGCTCATGAGACGCCAGGTAAAAGTCGAGGCAGCAGAACGTTGACAGAACTGGCCGAATTGCACCTGCTGCGACCGCTGTGGCTGTTGGCGCTGCTACCAGCTGGTTTACTCGTCTGGCTATGGCGGCGACGACAGGCGGATGTTGCCTGGCGACAGGTTATGGCACCACACCTGCTCACGCATTTGCTCACCGACGAAGAGCAATCCAGCAGCCGAGTCCCGCCAATGTACCTGATTGCTGCGTTCTGGTGCCTTGCAACCCTGGCCCTGGCAGGACCGTCATGGCAACGCGAGCCGACACCTTTTGCAGATGACCAGGCGGCTCTGGTGATCGCGTTGTATCTGGGCCCCAGTATGCTGGCTGCAGACATCCAACCCACGCGCCTGCAGAGATCCGTACACAAAATTCAAGACCTGCTGGAACTGCGGAAAGGCGCGCGTGTTGCCCTGATTGCCTATGCGGGCAGTGCTCATCGAGTTGTACCTTTCACCACCGACAGCAATCTCATCAAAACGTTTGCCGCCGAACTCGCGCCTGACCTGATGCCTCTGCAAGGTAACAACCCACGGGCTGCCATCAAAATGGCACAGGAGATGTTCACGCAAGCGGATCAGGTTGGCAGTGTGTTGGTGATTACAGACAATCTTGATCCAGCAGCCCTCACCGAGCTGGACAGTCAGATACCACTCGATGTGCTTGGCATGGCAGCAGCGCCAGGTGCTGATGCAGCGGCTACGGGGCCAGCAGCACCAGCGCTGGACCGGGATGCCATGAGTAAAGCCGCGGGGTTACTTGATGGCCAACTCGTGGAAGTGACAATCGATGATGACGATGTCATCACTCTGGCTCGACGCCTGGACCTGCGCCCCACCGCGGTCACCACGGATGACAATCAACGCTGGCGCGATGCCGGCTATTACCTGCTGCTGCCAATAGCGCTCATTGTATTGCTTTGGCTGCGCCGAGGTTGGGTGGTTCGATGGTCGAGTTGAGACAACATTCTCCCCTGCCCTGCAGAGTGCTTGGCCTGCGTATCGCTATGATCATCATCATTGCGGGCAACACCCTCGGCTGCAGTCAGGACACCTGGTTGACGCCTGAGCAACAAGGTGAGCGGCTCTTTGCAGCCGGAGACTACGCTGGCGCCGCACAACGCTACACGGATCCCATGCGCATAGGCGCCGCCTGGTATCGGGCGGGCGAGTTTGAACGCGCAGCCATGGCTTACGGTCAGCGTGCCTCTGCGCAAGCACATTTCAATCGGGGCAACGCATTACTGATGCTGGGCCGCTACGACGATGCCATCGCGGCGTACGATCTGTCTTTACAGCAACGCCCTGTTTGGCCGCCCGCAACAGACAACCAGACGCTGGCGCGTATCCGTCGGGCTAGACTGCAACCGCCTGAAGATGATGCCGGAGGCACCGGCGGCTTGTTAGCCGCGGATGAAATTGTCTTCGACACTACCGGTCGGGTGAATCAGGCAAAGGGAGAAGAAACCGTGGACGCCAACACCGGACTGACAGATACCGAATTACGCGAATTGTGGTTACGACGTGTCGCTACCCGACCTGCCGACTTTCTTCGTGCCCGATTCGCCGTGCAGTTTGCACGGCAATCAGAGACCAGCCAGTGAGCGCACGCTGGTTATTCATCTTTCTGCTGCTATACACAGTGCTGGCAAGCCCAGCCGATGCAGCTGAGCCAACAGAACCTCTCGACGCGCGAGTAAGAGCGGGACTTGAGACAACCGCTGACGTCTGGGTGGGTCAACAGATCGGACTGACTGTGGATATCCTCAGCCCGGGGTCTACTTTTTCCAAACAACGGATCTATCTGCCGGCGGTGGCAGGCGCGCTGATCCTGGAGGACGCGGTCACAACAATCTATTTGAACGAACGCATCGATGGTGAGACCTGGCAGGTGTTGCGCTACCGTTACCCGATGTTTGTACAACGTAGCGGTACGATAGAAGTCCCGCCTGTTGATGTCGCATTTGAAGTCTCTCCAGGTTTTGGCCAGGCGAACGTCGCCTTTGATCTGAATACGCAGAGCCTGTCACTGTCGGTGAACCAACCACCAGGAGTCACCAACTTACAGAATCTGGTGACCACCGCCCGATTCACGCTGAACGTCGACGTTACTCCGAACAAAACGGAACTGCAGGTGGGTGATGCAGTTACTCGCACTATTACTCGCACGGCCACCGGTGTTTCCGGCATGGCCTTCGCCCCGCTGCCTGAACATGAAATAGCCGGCGTCGCCGCCTACCCAGAGGCGCCCTTGATTGATGACAGCAGTAATCGTGGGGAACTGCGGGGCCAGCGCATAGACACCGCCACATTTGTGCTGCAGGCAGAGGGTGAAGTGGATCTGCCTGCCATTGATCTGCAGTGGTGGGATCCGCAGGCAGCACAGCTACATGTGGAAACTATCCCCGCGCTTAGCCTGACTGTGGCTGCTAACCCGGAACTGACGGCCACCCGAGACTTGGAACAGCAGACGCCATCGGGATTCTTGAAGTGGCTCTACCTGCTGGCGGCTGGGGTCGCAGGCGTGCTGGGGTGGCTTCTAAATCGCCACCTGCCCAGCCTGAAATCGCATCTGCGGCATCGCGCCCGGTTGCGTGCGCAGACTGAACCCGCCCGATTTAAACAGTTGCAGCAGGCATGCCGCAAAAACGATGCGTTGCTGGCTTACAATGCTTACTTACACTGGGCCTCTGCAGACCACGCGCCTGCTCAAGCGCTGTTGGCATCACCGCCGCTAAAAGCTGCACGTGAGAAAACCCAACAGGCGTTCATCACCGGTGACAATACATGGCGTGGTAAGGCGTTAGCAGATGCCACTCAGCAGGCGCGTCGAGCGCAACAAGGTGCAAACCACCGCAAAGCTGAACATGAGCTCGCAGCATTGAATCCGACGGAAGCCACTGGCATCTTCCCGTCATAGTTACAGGAGCAGACACAAGTTGAGAGAGCATCTGAAAAATGGTCCTTGCAGCATTCAGCGTATCCAGAGAACTTATCAACTGGTTGCAGTTATCTGCCTGACCTTCGCTGCCATGACCAGCAGCGCTAATGATCTGGTCTATTTTGGCAACGGTAGCGTCCTGATAGGCGAGCTCAAATACCTGGAGCGCGGTCGCCTGTTTTTCAAGACAGATGCAACCGGCACCATACCTATCGAATGGGAGGACGTTGAACGTCTAAGCAGTGATCAGCAATTGCGGCTGGAACTGGTCGACGGCAACCGCTACTTTGGTTCAATCGGTGCTACAGATGCAGGCCGCCGCGCGCTGGTTGATGCTCGTAGGGGCAAGCTCAGTGTCGATCTCAACCAGGTCGTTGGAATACAGCCTTTTGAAGAGGAATTCTGGGAGCGATTTTCAGGCAGCATCAGCGCGGGATACAACTTCACCAAAGCCAGCGACGTGGCTCAATTCAATTTTGGCGCCCGCGGCCAGTACCTGACAGAAAACTGGCGTTCCAATGTGGACCTTAATTCGATCATTACCGAAGACAGTGAAAATGAAACCACCAATCGCTCGTCACTCAATCTCACTACCCGCAGGCTGCGCGGCAAACACTGGGCCACCGGGGTATTCACCAGCTTCGAACGTAATGATGGTCAGGGCATCGACCTGCGCAGTTCCATTGGTGCGCAGCTGGAGCGTTACCTGAAAAACGAAAACTCACAACGCCTATCGTTGAGCGGCGGCCTGCTTTACAGCCATGAACGAATAACAGGGTCAAGCGATTCGAATGACAGCGTGGAAGCTTTGTTCAATGTCGCCTACGAAATATTTCGCTACGACTCACCAGAACTTGATCTGACCGCGCAATTCTCAGTGTTACCAAATCTGACCGACTGGGGGCGCGTGCGCAGCGAGTTCAATACCACACTGAAGTGGGAATTCTATGAAGATCTGTTCTGGCAGTTAACCTTCTACAACAGTTATGACAATCGGCCGCCCACCGAAGAAGCCACCAACAATGATTACGGTATCATTACGGGAGTCGAGTTAGATTTCTAAAGCTAACGTTCCGGGGAAGATATTAGCCACAGACCAATTGCGATTTAATCAGTGCTGAACCCGGCATGCAGACTTTTTCCCGCAGCGTCGTTTTCATCGTCTTACAGGCTTCGCCATCGATCATTAAACGCTTGTAGACACTCTCACCAATCAGCGATATACCGCCGGTTGCTACCGCTGCCCCATAACGCCACAGCAGACCTTTTGTGTTAGAAACAATCTCCGGTTTTGCAAGACTGCCCTCCAGTCGAACTGTATTCGAGAAAACATTGCCTACACTCAGGCCCGCACCCTTACGACTTCTTGAATCCAGCTGCGCCGAGATCGTTTCCTGTCTTAAATCAGCTTGCGCCTGAATAAGGACGTTGGCGACAGGCGTTTGCATGACAATAGTGGCGGGCGCGGCAAAGCTGCCACCCACCAGATGTGCGTAGCCTACCGCGCAATGCAGGTCAGGCGCCTTTTCAGTCGCAGGCAATAATTTGCCGAAAACACCCTGAACCAGATCACCGGTCAGCAGACCGCCGCCGAAGTCCGCAAAGCTTGCCGAGCCGGAACCCGCCTCTATATAAACATGACCCTTGAGGGAGCTTGCCAAAGTGCGCTCACTGTTTCCCTGCGCCGCCAGGTCAACAAATGCACTCATGGGTGCAACCCCTGGCAGTGGGTTAAGGCGCACATTTGCAAGTGACAGGGAAAGTCTGGCCAAAGCAGGCTGTTGGGTAGCATCATATGCCAGCGAGAAATCAAGCGCGCCGCCATTGGCCTGCGGGCTTTGCAGCTGCACATTAAGCTGACGGCCGCCTACACGGCCAAAGAAGGTGACGTGACGCGCCTCACCACGCCGGGACTTCACCCGATCAGCAGCAATTTTGATGTCCGCATCTACCGTATCCATGACCTCTAACGACCAGGGCTGGGCACTGAAATATCTACTACTCGTTGAATCAGTCGGGCGCGCTCTGGCGCCTATGGAGGAGCGGATTGAATCGGATAGAAAATTCAGCGCTCGCGCGGTTGTATTGGAAACAGAGCGGATCAAGCCAGCATCCGATACCTTGCCCGCTCCATCTGCTTGCGGCGGATGGAACGGAGTCAGATCTAAATAACCGGCGTTAAGGTCAGCACGCAATTCCGGCGGCTGCGTATCACGAAAGGTAGCCCTGCCTTGGAGATCGCTGTTGCGCCAGTAGAGATCAGCGATGTCTGCCTGCCATAGACCCCCGTCAAGCGCCCGCAGTTCTACATCAATGTCAAATTCGGGTCGCTGGTTTGTCGCCACGGGTAGTGCGGCCAGTTTCAGTCGCAGGCGTGAATCGTGAGAAAGCTCGGCCCAATCTCCACCCCGACCACGCAGCGCCAGGGTACCGGCAAGCGGCTTATCGAGGAGGTCTTTCATCTGGGACTGTGTCAGAGACGCCACCGTCAGGCCCTGGACCGCACCATCCATCTGGACATCAGCTGCACCATTGTAGGTCACCATGCTCGCCTGCCATTGCACAGCGCCAAACGGGCTGTTGAAGCTGGCATCCGCAATGTTCAGGCTTCCGGGCTGGGTCTCTAATCGCAAACTGGCGTTCGTCAGCGTTTGTGCTTCAAGCGTTAATTCTCCAAGCGCAATTTGCAGGTCAACAGTAGGCAGGCTCTGTAGGAGCGGTAACAGTGGCGTCGGATCAGGCTCAGCCTGGGATTCATCGGCAGAAACAATCAGCGTATCCAGATTGATCGATGATGTGTTGAGTTGCCCTGTCACCGCAAGCTCTGGCAGCGTCACCAACAATTCACCGAGGGTGCGCGTGGTCTTGCCCATTTGCATATCCAACTCAGACAGCGACAGGCTGGTTACCTGCCCTGCCGCCACACCAAAGGAAGGGATTGCTCTGAACTGGAGATCCTCAGATAAACGAGCCGATGAGAGTTCAACCATCAACTCACCCGCCAGGCTCGAAACAACAGAAGGCAGACCATCACCTCTGCCGGCCAGATTCAACTGCGCGGACGTCACGACCAGCGGAACGTCTGACCCCAGTTGTTGGAGATCAACGGCAGACAGTTTCAGATCCAGGTTTAACGCTGCTTCGTTACCCACGCGTTGTTCGCTGAGATTGAGCCGTATCCGACCTTGCAAACCCGTATTGAAAGACACGTCGATGTTTGCGCTGTCGGCTTGATTCTGAAAGCCAACTACAACGGTGTTGAAAGCCAGACCAGCCAACTGGATACGGTCACCGGCAAATTCAACATCCATGGGGAAATTCGAAGGTAACCCAATGCGTTCAGGCAGGTTGAACTCAAACGGGGCAGCAGCATCAGCACCCGTATCTCGACGTAAGACATCAAAGTTTAAATATTTGGCGTTGAGCCGCGCACTCAAAGCGCGCCGTGAATCATCCGTCCACAACGCGCCACTAATATCCGATTCGCCCACCTGCAGCTTCAACGCATCTGAACCCAGCAAGCCAAGTTCGCTGTCAAACTCTGCGCTCAGGCGCATCGGCAAAGCTTCGGCGCCATGGTAAAGGCCAGCTGCTGCCAACGAACCACGGGCATTTTCCAACAGTTCGATGGGCTTTCCGCCCCGGGTAGTCAGGTCCACGTGACCACTGTGCCAGTACAACAGTGCATCTTTGGCAATCGCATCAGACTCTGCCTGACTTACCGCAGCTAGATCAGCCGCAATATCCCACTGTCTGCCGAACACAAACGCAAGATCGCCTTTGAGATCAGCACCCGCAAGGTCTGCGTTGAGATCATGAAATTGTATGCCTGCAGGCGAGCCGGTATCGCCAGCCCGAGTGACAATCCGGGTGGTCAGATCACGGACGGAGTCGCTGCCTATGAGCAGCTCATCTACCCGCACGTGAGCCTGATGCGCTGGCAGCGACACCTGCGGCAAAGACACCTGCAGCCAGTCTTGTGATGAGTTCGCTGGCTGCACCGTACCCTTTTCAGTCACGTCAGCTGTCAACTCAACAATCAGAGCCTGAATACGATTCACATCCAACCGCTTCAGCCGCAGATCACTGTGTTCCGGCCATTCCAGTAAATCGGCAACCTCATAAGACCAGGACCCTGTAACAGCCAAACCTTCAAGCTGGAAAACGTAGGCCACACCCGCAGCTTCCGCTGGCGTAATGGATACGTCAGCGGTCAGCAGATCTTCTACCTGACCCGCTTGTGCTATCTCAATCTGAATGTGCCCGCGCTTGTGCCGCAACACGTCAAAAAGCGGAGAGAATTGCAGGCTCACTGAGAGCTGAGCGCTGAGTCCTGCCTGGACCCAGTTCAAAGTCTGTAAATCACCCTCTCGCCGCAGAAAAAGATTGTCCCGGGTCTTTGCAACAGGACGCTCTGCCTGATAAACCTCCAGGGCGGTGATGTAAACCCGCTCGGGCAGCCAGGATTCAATAAGTTGCACATCCATAGGCTCATCGCTGTTGTCACCCTGCCACTGATCAAGATCCACGTGAAGAACATCCGCACCCGCTGAGGTTATGCGCAGCTGTCCCTGCAGCAATGCCGCAGCATCAAAGGCCAGCGAGAAGTTTTCACAGAGAAGTGCGGGTGTCTCATCAGAGCCCACTATAAGCCTGGACACATTTGCCTGCAGGGACAACCAGCTGAGAGAAACGTTATCGACTATTACTGGTTGATCAGTCAGCCCCTCCAACACGTCAGGCAGGACATGTTCGAGGATGCGCGGCATCAGCAATGCCATAACAACGAGCAGTATGACTATGCATGCAACCGCTCCGATCAAGAACCTCTGCCAACGCAAAGTACCCGCCCCCTCGATGAATTTTCAACAGCCTGTCCGCCGACAGATCCCCTGCCTGACAGACTCGGCAGAACTGAATTATGGCACCATTTTCAGGAAAGAATCTGCTATCGTGACTGCCCGTCGGGAACCCCATTCTCATGCGACACCTTAGTACACAGATCAGAACAATGCGGGTGATAATGCCGTCCGTCAGCCACCACACCCTATCCAAATGAATTTTGATATCACCTTCAATATGACCTTCTGGGGCTCTCTACTGGTCATGTGTGCGCTGTCTTTTGTGCACCTGACAATACACCGCTGGCGCTTTCTGCATGGTCCTGCAGCAAAACATTGGTTGAGCATTTCAGCAGGCACGGCACTGGCATACGTCTTTGCTTATCTGATGCCGAAGCTGGCAACTATTCAGGGTAAGCTTGCGCCAACGGCAGATGTCTCTGTAGGTTTCCTGCGGCAACATGCCTATTTACTGGCACTCGCCGGACTGCTGACCTACTTCGGGCTTAACCGTATAACCGCTGCGGGTCCGTCACAGGTGACAGACGAAAGAGTCTTCCATAATAGAGTGGTCCTCCTGCAGCTGATCGGCTACTGCCTTTACAGCGCGCAGTTAGGGTATCTGGTCACAGAGCTTGCGCAGCCTGGGTTTGCTTCCTACACACTGGTCACGGTGATACTTTGCTTCCACCTGATGGGCATTAATCACCATCTGCATCACACGTACCCTGTTGCGTATTTAGGTTTACTCAGATATGCCTACACCGCCGCCCTGTTCTGCGGCTGGCTGGCAGGTGTGATGACGGCAAATGTGGGTCTGTTTATCATGCTGACAACAACGTTTGTTGCGGGCGGTATTATCATTACTGCCCTGCGCGAAGAGTTACCCAAAGATGGCGAGACTCATTCCATTGCGTTTTACATTTCCGTGGTGCTATCAAGCGCTGCCATCCTAGCCGCGCAGAGTCTGCAGCAGGCTTAGGGGATCAGCCGCAAAAATAACTACCGTCCGCCTGAGTGCCTTGCCTGAAAAGTCTTGCGCAGGGCATCCTGGAATGTGGTGATCAATGCCGCCGTCGACACGCCAATCATCAGCACACCGTTAATCGCTTCCAGCGGTCCGAGCAATCTGTATCGCTCGGACATGACAATATCGCCATAACCTAAGGTCGCAAAATTCACCGCGGAGTGATAAACCGCCTCACTGAGCGTTGTAAACTCGCCAAGGAACTGAAACACCAGCGCCCAGATAAAAAGCTGGCCGAGGTTACCCAGGACTAACAGGATCATTATGACGCTGATCACCACCAGCGTAGTCCATCCGGACGGGCTGTTCACCATGCTTTCGTGACTGGTGTAGTGGCGTAGCGCTGCGGTCATCAGTAAAGCCTGCAGCAGTAAACAAACCGTCATGGTCAACAGGCCGATCAAAAGATTTTCGAGCATCAGATTACCTTAGGCGTTCCTGAGAAATTGTCTTTGGCGCTGCGGACGCAGGCGCAACCATTCCAGCGCAACAATTGCGAGCCATGCGTAGAGGGTCACAGCTATGAACAAGCCCAGACGCACAGCAAAAGCCTGATAGACATCCTTGCCATTGGCGCTGTCCTCTACCGCGGGACCCAGCAGGATCAGCATTGTTACCACAACATTCTGCCAGAAAGCAGGCGTGTATTGACTGAACAGCGCGCCGTAGAATTTTGCCGCTCCATAACCCGCAAACAGCAACATCCACAGCGTGAAAAACCACAACGTGGGACTGATCTGTAATGCAAACCAGAACGCGATTGCAAAGCAACCGGCAACAATGGTGGAGCCGAGTAATTCGCGCCCAGCGACCCGGGCACTGATTTCCGTACCCTGCTGCGCCAGAAACAGACCTTTGAGAATGGTGGCCAGGTATAAAGCAGGATTGGTGAACGCAAGCATGACCGGCAGTAACACAATTAAAGTGGCACGCAAAGCAAGCCAGCGTGCATGTTCGCTGGCTACCGGCACAATCGGCTTAGCCGTACCAGGGTCTTCTGGAAAGAAGGGATAAACCAACCACTGAGAGACCATCGCTATACTGATGCCGAGCAGGAGCGCCTGTATTACAGCGGTGGCCAGGCTGTAATCGACCATGCCCGCAGCAGGAATCATGGTCAGCCCAGCTGCCAGCAATACGCCAACCGGGCCTTTGCCTTTCTCAAGGCTGATGATGCTGCTGAGATAAAGGCCCACTGCGATGATCAATACCGCCGTCACCGGATAATTGAGCAACAGCGGGATCATCAGCAGGCCTGTGCTTAAGGTTGCCGCTACCGCAACAACCAGACCCACGAGCCCTTTCAACCCGGGCGGTGGTGCAGGGTTAGCGGTAAGCATAAACGCCATAAGCGGTGCCAGATAAGGCAGCGGCATGCCAATGCCATAAGCAACTGCCGTTGCCAGCGCAACCACGCCGGCAATTCGACAGGTTCGCCTTGCAGCGACAGGCATCATGAGCCGTGACCTGCGTCAGTACGCAAAGGACAGCCAGCTTGCGATTCTGATATAAGCTTTACCCAGCCCGCCGAGCAACCCATGGCCTTCGCTGTAAGCCATGACTGAAGCTTGCCCGCCAAGACGCAGCTGACGTCGCAAACTGGGATGTTGTTCAGGGTCGAAACCAATGATCACCGGGAAACGTTGTGATTGGCGCAACCAGTCGCGGTCGTTCTGCACCGTTGGCAACGTTCCGGGTTGTGGCTCCCGGCCAGCACTGACACCAAGGCCAACACTACGAATCTGGCCACGAAACACTTCGCCGGGTAAGACATCGAATAAAATCTCCACCGGCGTACCAACGCCGATGTTACCCAGGTTGTTTTCGGTAAATTCAGCGTTAATCCACACGTCATGTATTGCCACTAAGGTGAGCACCGGAGTGCCGGTGCCTGCAAACTGCCCCACCTCGGCACGCAGATTAGTGATAATGCCATCGGTTGAGGCCTGCACCACGGTGTTTGCCAGATCCAACTGTGCTTTCTCAACACCAACCAGGGCAGTTTTAAGCAGCGTATTATTATCGTCATCACCACCCATGGATTCGATGGCCCGCCTGATATCAGCTTCCGCCGCGGTGACTTGAGCATCCGCCTGTTCAAGACTGGCCTGAGATATCTCCAGCCGACGCACGGAGATCGTGCCCGGATCTTCTTCATAAAGACGCGTGAGTCTGTTCAGATCCTGTCGGGCTTTGAGTGCATTCGCTTCGGCAGCTCTGAGTTTGGCCCGTGCAGCTGCCACCGAAGCGTTACCTGCGCTGACCTGACGGCCCGTATTCTCAAGATCGGAACGCGCCCGGTCGAGGGCAATCTGGTATTGCGATGGGTCAATCTCAAACAGACGGTCGCCTTCGCGTACCTGGGCGTTATTACTGACCCAGACTTGTGTCACAAGCCCTGCCACTTTTGGCGCAACCCCAACCACATAACCCTCAACCCGTGCCTGGGTGGTGTACGGGGTGAAACGATCTGCCGCCAGATACCAAAGCAGACTGAGCAAAATGACAATCGCCACCCCAGCGCCGCCGCGTTTTACAGCAGTACCCGCGTCACCACCACCTTCTTGTGGCGCAGCCACCTGCTCGCTCTGTGCGACAACAGTCTCTACCGGGGCGGTGTCTTTGTTTTCAATAGGTCGGTCAGTCATAACTTCACTCGTCTAATCATTCACCGCGACGTCGGCAGCTCAGCATCCGGTCCAGCGTCAGGTGCGGGTAATTGCGCATCCAGCAACTCACCCCATTTGGTACGCTCACGCATCTGTTGCCGAGTCGACTCGGGTATTAATGTGTCAATGGGCATGTCAACCCAACCACCACCGAACGCTTTGTATAACTGGGTGATCGCGTTCAGGTGTGCTCCGCGCACAACCAGGTATCGGTCGGCCTGTGAGAACAGCGCGCGCTGTGCATCAAGAACCCGCTGGAAGTCGGCATAACCTTCTTGGTAGCGGGTGCTGGCAAGCTCCAACGAACGCTCCGCTGCCTGCAATGCCTGTTTGAGTATTATCTCCTGCTCCGCAGTCTTGACCACTTTAATGGCAGCATCGTCAATCTCCCGGGCTGCCAGCAGCACAGAGTTCTGAAAGGATTCGATGGTCTGTTGTAACCTCGCGTCCTGCAGGCGCACGTTGTTACGGATACGACCATAGTCAAACACGTTCCAGGTCAACGATGGCCCAACAGCCAGTTGGGTGGTATCTGCGGTAGCGCTGAGCGAGTCACCTGACCAGCCGATGCTACCGAACAGTGAAATAGCCGGATAATAGTCAGCTTTTGCAACACCGATCTGTGCAGACTGAGCCGCCACCTGCCAGGCAGCATTGCGGATGTCCGGGCGCCTTAATAACATTTGTGCCGGTATTTCGCTGATCGAAAGTGCAGCGGTATCGGGTAGTGCCTGCACCATACCCGCCAGTTCCGCTATCTCTCCCGGCGGTCTTCCCAGCAACACCGATAAAGCGTTACGCACCTGGATAAGTGCTGATTCCAGCTCCGGTATCGTAGACAGTGTTGCCAGCTGTTGGGTTTTCGCCTGCTGCAGATCCAGCTCAGAACCCTGGCCTGCGGTGAAAAGTTTCTGTGTGATGGTGAAACTGCGCTCCTGGCGCGCGGCATTGTTGCGTGCAATCTCTATGCGTTGCGCAATGGTCAGATAGTTAAAGTACAACTCGGCAACCTGTGCACTGAGCAACACCTGCAGATCATGGTGCGACGTTATTGAAGCCAGGAATACCGCATCCGCAGCTTCAATACTGCGCTGGAAACGTCCCCAGAAATCCAGTTCCCAACCCACACGAAAATCCGTTTGATACGCAGTGAGACTCTGACTGCGGTCCTCAACTATGCCACCACTTTTATCGGAGTTAACGCCGGTGACAGTTGCCCCAATCTGCTGAAGCTGGGGATAGCGTGTACTACCGGCAATACCCAGGGCAGCACGACTCTCAAGTATTCTCAAGCCTGCAATATGCATCGTTGGATTGTCGCGACGTGCTACTGCAATGAGCTGATTTAACGTCGGATCATCAAAAAGCTGCCACCAGAAACGCAGGTCCAACCTGTTTTGCTGGTCTGTGTTGTCTATCTGTCCATACAGATCGGTCTGCCAGTCGCTGAGCCAGGCTACTTCGGGCTCTTCATAGTCTGGACCCAGAGTTGTGCAGGCGGCTGCCAGCAGAAGCAGCGGCAGGAACAGGCCCTGCCGGATTGATCTTGGCTCATTCAACGTAACGTCCGACTCTGATCAGCCCGGTTCACCCGTTGCCTTACTGGACGATTGCGCAGGTTCAGTCTCGGCGGATGCGCCATCCACCCAGCCCATGAAAACAACATATCCGACCGCCAGCACTACCGGTCCGGTAAACAGACCAATCATGCCGAAGGACACCATACCGCCCAGGGCACCGATCAGAATGACCGGCATGGGTGCTTCCACACCACGGCCGAGCAATATGGGTTTAAGTACATTGTCAGCCAGCGTGGCGATCACCAGATAAATCGTCAGCAGCACGTTGATCAGGGTGCCGTCGTCGCCACCTGCCCACCACAGGTAAGCGATCGCAGGAATGGACACCACCAATGCAGGCACCTGCAGAATGCCTAAAAACAACGCTATCAACGCCAGCACGCCAGGGGCAGGAATGCCCGCTAACATGAATCCAATACCCAGGAGTAACGCTTGAATGAACGCAACACCCACCACACCGGTGGCTACTGAACGAATGGTGGCCGTAGACAGCGTCTGCAGTCGCGGACCGCGATCAGGTCCGGACAGACGGGAGAATATCCGCCGCATAGCGGCACTGCCCGACTCACCGAACGCCATTATGATCCCCGCAACTATCAGTGAACCAAGAAACGCCAGAATGGCGCCCACAGTACCGGCAGCCGTTGCAACCGCCCAGCGGGACAGGTCACGAATTTTAGTGTGATTGGTTTCAACAAATCCCTGCAGATCCTCAGCGGCAGAATCCCAGCCAGCATAGAGCCGCTCACCGACGACCGGCCAATTCTGAACCCCCTCTGAGGGCACAGGTACCTTGAGGGTGCCACTTTCTATATCGGTATACAGCTGATTGGCCTGGCCAGCGAGAGAGCCACCCAGAATGACCGTGGGTGCGCCCAACAGCAGCAAACCACTGATGACCATTACCGTGGCCGCCAGACCCTGGCGACCGCCCATGCGAGCCGCCAAACTGCGATGCAGAGGATAAAGGGCTACTGCCAGGATCAACCCCAGACCAGCAACGCTGGCAAATGGCGCAAAGACCTGAGCGCATAAAACCAGGATCACCGCAATCAGACCGAAGCGGATCAAACCTTCTACAATATGGGACGAATCGGGTTCTGCAGGTGATGTATCGGATTGCGGCATTCTTGGGTCCTTGTCATTTTCTCGGCGTAGCTTTAGCGGCGAATTAAACCACAATAACCGGCGATTTTGATCCCATGATCACTACCCCGCCGCTTGACAGTTTACCCGCCGGAACTAACCGACATATGACCCACATTCACGCAATAATGCGGACCGGCATCTTTGCATAGCCATTGACAAAGTTGGACTCGACACGCTCAACTTCACCAACAATTTCAATACGCTGCCAGCGCTTGAGAATTTCTTCCCACAGAATCCGCATCTGCATTTCAGCAAGGCGCATGCCCAGACAACGATGCAGGCCAAAGCCAAAGGATATAGTGCTGCGCGCATTCTCGCGGGTGATGTCGAAGGTATCTGCATTGGCAAATACTGACTCATCGCGATTGCCCGAGTAATACCACATCACAACCTTGTCGCCTTTTTTCACCGGCTGTGCGCCAATATTGGTATCCACTACCGCAGTGCGGCGCATGTGTGACAAAGGCGTCTGCCAGCGCACAACTTCAGACACCATGTTATTGATCAGTTCCGGGCGTGCGCGAAGCAATTCCAGTTGTTCCGGGTATTGATTGAAGGCATTGATACTCGCGCTCATGGTATTTCGTGTGGTGTCGTTGCCACCCACAATCAGCAGCATCAGGTTACCCAGAAACTGAGAATCGGGTTGATCCGCGGTCACCGCATCCTGCGCCAGCATGGTCACTAAATCAAAGTTAGGTGGCCCGTCTCTGCGCGCCTCTTTAAGGCGCTTGAAATAGGTTAAACACTCCATCAGTTCCGCTATACGCTGTTCCTGACTGCCGACAATGGGCGAGTCCGCTTCTGCAGTAGTGACATCAGACCAACGCGTCAGCAGACGGCGGTCTTCAAACGGAAAGTCGAACAGAGACGCCAGCATCATGGTGGTCAGCTCAATGGAGACGCTGTCTACCCAATCAAATTCTTCACCCACCGGCAGTGAGTCGAGTAAGGTCTGGGTACGCTCCCGGATAAGCCCTTCAAAACTGGCCAGACTCCCCGGCGCGACAATTTTACTCACCGCTTTACGCTGCGGACCATGCTCAGGCGGATCCATGGTGATAAAGCTCTGTACAAAGAAATCACCGTTCACATCACCAACAATGTCGTCATCAATCATGATGCCGCCATAGTGGGCGTCTGATGAAAATTCCTGATGATTCTTGTCCACCGCCATGATGTCTTTGTAGCGGGTCACCGACCAGAATGGACCGTAAGGGCTGTCTTTGCAGTAATGTACGGGCTGCTCTGCACGCATCTGCTTGAAAAAAGGCAGGATGCGTTCTTCGCTGAAAAGTTTTGGATCTGCTGGGTTCAAGTCCGCCAGGGACTCGTTTTCAGGCACTTGTATCGACTCGCTCATAACCCCGTTCTCCCAATCGAATTTATAGCCTGATAGAACCTAACACTTTTGTCTTGTTGATCCTAATAACGGTAGATATTTTTCTTGCCACAAAACATACCGATGTGGGTGCAGCAGGTCTGCTGCTGCACTCAATCCAGCACAATAAGCTTTACATCCACCTGCAAAGTTGCCTGAGCGTTACCGGCATAGCTGCCGGCCACCGGCGGTACGGTTTCAGGATGCCGGGCAACAGCCACCGCAATATGGTCACTGCCTACCCTGGTGCCCGTGGTTGAATCAAAACCACACCAGCCTGCGCCAGGCAAATACACTTCTGCCCACGCATGTGTCGACGCCGATGCATCAGGAAGATCAGGCGCATAGAGGTAGCCGCTCACAAAACGAGCGGCAAAACCCAGATGACGACAACCTTCTAAGAAAAGTGTGGCGAGATCCCGGCAGGAGCCGGTACCGGAGGACAGCGTCTCGAAGGGGCGCTGCACACCAAATTCTTCCCGAACGTTGTAGGTGATCTGATAGTTCACGGCTTTGTTTATTCGATCGATGAGTTCAAACGTATTCGGAGATTGCCCACCTACCCAGAACGATTTCACCCAGCCCCTGACTTCTTCGTCGGCCTGGGTAAATACGGGTTGCATGTACGGAAACAGTTCCGCCCTCTCCATCGCATCGTACTGGAAGGGGTAAGTCAGCGCGTCGATATCCAGTTCCACAATGGTCTGGTCATCGTCGTAGTGTTCAATGACAACTTCACTACTGATTTTGAGGTGATCACCCAGCCCTGAAAAGGTGGCAATGGCAACGGAATTACTCTGAGCATCACGATGCCAGAACAGTCTGTTTACGTTGGGGCTGACGTCCAACCTGGACGACTCAATCCTGATGTCGTGGCCGACACGAGGTCGCAGCAGCATTTTGTGCGCACCAAATGCCACGGGCGCTGAGTATTTATAAGTGGTTGTGTGTGCAATCTTTAATCTACGCATGGCGAGCCAGACTCTTTCCTTCGGCGTTTAACTCTAGAGGACTTGAACTGAAATAGATGCAGGTTTTACATATACTGTTGCGTAACCTGCCACCAACGATTCCAACATGAAATCTGACGTCGACAAACTTCTGCAGAAAAACGAGCAGCTTAATCAACTGGATCTGGTAAAGGTTGTCAGCCACGTGCAGCGGGAAATTGAGGATGGCGATTGGGTCCTGAACACCCTCATGCTTGAAGGTTACGACGTTCCGTTCAAGTATAAACGCCAGAAAAAATATCGAAGCCTGCAGGGTGCACCGGTCAACATCACTTACTACCCGCAGATTGAACAGGTTGCGGGTATGGATATCGAAGTGATGAAGGTTGTGCGCATCCGCAGGAGCTGACGGACCTGAACCTCCTGATAAACGATACCATCAGATATGTCTGACTACGATGTCATCATCCTCGGAGCAGGTGCCGCCGGGCTGATGTGCGCCTTCACCGCAGCCCAACGGGGACGCCGCGTTCTGGTGCTGGAGAAGTCCAACAAGGTTGGCAAAAAAATTCTCATGTCCGGTGGCGGCCGCTGTAACTTCACCAATTACTATGTCACTGCCGACAACTTCATCTGCAGCAATCCACATTTTGTCAAAGCGGCTCTGCAACGGTATACCGCATGGGATTTCATTCACCTTGTGGAGTCCCACCGCATCCCCTACGAGGAGCGCCAACACGGTCAGCTGTTCTGCCTCAATTCAGCCAAAGATATTGTCAAACTGCTGCTGGATGAATGCCAGAAAGTTGGTGTTGAAGTGCTCACCCACTGCAGCGTGTCAAAGTTAGAGGCTGCCGCACAAGGCAGAGGTTATGACATCACCTTCAGTCGCGCTGACGCCGTGCATTCTTATCATTCCGATTCGCTTGTGGTTGCAACCGGCGCTTTGTCTATACCGACTCTGGGCGGCAGTGATTTCGGATACAGGCTTGCACGTCAATTTGGTCTGGACCTGGTTGAACGACGGGCAGGACTGGTACCGCTGATGTTCAATGATGCTGCTAAAGATCTATGCGAACGCTTATCAGGACTGGCGCTCGAGGTGGAAGTCACCTGCAATGGCCAGGCCTTTACTGAAAATATGCTGTTCACTCATCGTGGGTTAAGCGGACCGTCGATCCTGCAGATATCAAACTACTGGCATCCGGGTGAGATCGTACTGGTTAACCTGTTACCGGACGTGGACGCAACGCAATGGTTGCTGGCAGCAAAAAACTCTCAGCCCGCAACTCACCTGAAGACCGTGCTGGGCCACGCGCTCGCCAAGTCCCTTGTGACAGAACTGATCATGCTGTTCTGGCCTGAGCTGGACGGCAGGCGCCTGGATAATATTGCGGACGCCCAGTTACGTCGTGTTGCAGAACAACTGCAGCATTGGTCCTGGAAACCGGCGGCCAGTGAGGGGTATCGAACGGCAGAGGTCACATTAGGCGGCGTTTCAACTGACGCCATCAGTTCCAAGACCATGGAAGCGCGTCAGCACCCTGGCCTGTTTTTTATCGGCGAAGTGCTGGATGTGAGCGGTCATCTTGGCGGCTTCAACTTCCAGTGGGCCTGGTCATCCGGATACAGCGCAGGGATTGCAGCCTAGATCGTCGTGTTAGATTAGGGTAAAAATCTGTTTTAACTGGAAACGATCAAACAGATTTAGATTCCACACAGACAACCACATCAGTTAAGGATCGATTATGAGGCCACTTGAAGGCATTACTGTCCTGGAATTTTCCACCATGATCACCGCTTCCTTTGCAGCCATGCAAATGTGCGAGCAAGGCGCCCGTGTGATTAAAGTTGAACCCCTGAATGCCGGTGATCCGCTTCGTTATATCGGCGCATCCAAGGGTGGCATCTCCTCATTGTTTGCCAACTGTAATCGCGGTAAAGAAGCGATTCGCGTCGACATCACAACAGACGCCGGCCAGGCATTGATCCGCGACATGGTCCCCACTGTGGACGTGGTGATTCATAACTTCAGACCAGGTGTGATGGACAAACACGGTTTAGGCAGCGAGGCGCTGCGCGCGCTGAACCCGCGATTGATCTATACCGCCATTTCAGGCTTCGGTATCACCGGCCCAAAGAGCAATTCACCAGCGTACGACCCCATTATTCAGGCACAATCCGGCATTACCGCAACCCAGGGTAAAGTTGAACCGGCATTCTTTCGCTCTCTGATATGCGACAAGATCACCGCATACACGGCTTGTCAGGCGGTAACCAGCGCCCTGTATCAACGTGAAAAAACTGGAGAAGGTCAACACATAGACTTATCCATGTTAGACGCCGCTTTGTTTTTTATCTTCCCCGACGGATTCCAGAACCACACTTTGCTGGATGAAGATGTTGCGCCGCAGCCTATGCTCATCGACATTCTGTATGAGTTAAACATCACAAAAGACAGCGCCGTGACCATCTCCGCGGGTACCGCAGACCAACAGATGCGCTCACTCATTGCCATGGGTATGGAGCACCTGCTGGTCGATGAACGTTTTAACAGCATGGAGAAGCTGCTGGCCAACATTGATGTGTTCAAATCACTGGTTGCAGATGAGTATCTGAAGTACACCACCGACGAGGTGATCGCAAAAATGGAAGCAGCGGATGTCCCTTGTGCCCGCTGTCTCGATCGGGACGAGGTTCTGGCCCAGGCGCAACTGCAGGCGAACGGCTCCGTTGAGGTGATTGATCACCCGTTGATGGGGTCTATGCGAATTGTCAAAGCACCGCCACGCTTTGGTGGCAAGGTACTCGAACCGGGCGCGCCCAGCCCGGACCACGGCCAGCATACCCGAGAGGTACTAGCGTCCTTCGCGGTAGACGATGACCGCATCGAGAAAATGTTTGGTGATGGCGTGGTCAGTTAGCTGCGAATCAGCCGCCCGGGTCTTGCGCCGGTGTCGACGTCATCCAGGCGCGTTGGCACCCCGTTGATCAGTGTCGCCACGTAGCCTTTTGCGTCCTGCAGGATTCGGATGCCACCAGCCGGTAGGTCTTTTGCGATGCGCAAATCACCTAGGCGTAGATTCGGATAATCAATGACATTAATGTCCGCCTTCATACCGGGTTTGATCAAACCACGGTCAGTAAAGCCGAAGAGTTCAGCATTTTTCCGGGTCGCGCGATGAATAACGTGCGCCAGTGGTAACGTTGCGCCGCGACTGCGGTCACGCGTCCAATAGCTCAATTGATAGGTTGGATTCACCGCATCAAAAATCAGAGAAACATGTGCCCCGGCATCGGACAACCCGGTGACTGTGGCATCATCCATCTGCATCTCACGCACTGCATCCAGGTTGTAGTCTGAATAGTTGGTGAAAAACACAATGACCATATTGTTTTCATCTTCAGTCAGATAGTCGTACAACCACGCTTCCGGTGTCTGATTGGTACTACCCGCCAGCGCCGCCACACTTTCTTCCTGCCGCGGTTCATACGTACTGTCGCTTTTCAGAATGAAGGTGTTCGCCATGTTCAATTCAGCGTGACAGATACCAAATTCCATGGAGCCAACAGGAACGCCTGTGATGTCATTCTCCTCGCGCAGGATTGCGTTTTTTATATCCGGATTCTGCATGGCCTTGATACGTTCGTTGGCAGGCAGAGATTTCAGCTTCTGGTAAGACGGTTTCAACATCCAGTTGTGGTAGGTCTGCATGCTCAGTACCAGACCTGTGGGCCTGCTGCCCACTTGCGGAAACACCTGCGCGCCGTCTGCATTGCCCGCTTTGACCCGGTCGATGGCTTCTCGCCATTTATCCGACCAGTCATCAATCTGGAAAAGTGTAAAGGTGGCCGGCCTGCCACTTTGTTTACTGACCCGACTGATCAGGTCAATTTCCTGCTCCAGCGAGGTATGTTCACTGAACTCCGGGCGCCCCGGGCCTAACGTGCTGGATGGAATAATCTGAAACAGACCTTTACCTGCGCGTTTAAGCGCCTGGGCGATGACCATCACCTCAGCATCGTTGGCAAAGGTGCCAGGAACAGGCTCGCCTTGAATTGAGCGGTGCCCGAGAATGCGGGAAGTTGAAAAGCCAACAGCGCCGGCGCGCAGAGCTTCTTCAACAATATCACCCATTTGGGCAAGGTCGCCTTCCGTAGCCGCCTCGTTAGTGCGGCCTCTTTCCCCCATCACATAATTACGCACGGCGCCATGCGCCACCAGCGAAGAGATATTGAGGGCATATTCCCGGCCGCTGAGAAAATCGAGGTATTCAGGATAGGTTTGCCAGGCGCCCCAGGGCATGCCCTCATACAAGGCCGTGCCGGGGATATCTTCCACCCCTTCCATCAGTTCAATCAGTGCTTGCTGGCCATCCGGAGCCACCGGCGCAAAACCTACCCCACAGTTACCCATGACGATGGTACCCACACCGTGACTGGCAGATGGGTTCATATCTGTATCCCAGGTCACCTGACCATCATAGTGAGTATGAATGTCCACCCAGGCAGGTGTCACGATGGCGCCATCTGCATCAATTTTGCGGTTCGCCTTACCTGCTGCCGCGTCACCCACGGCGGTAATAATGCCGTCTGTTACCGCAACGTCTGCGTGATAAGCGTCACCGCCGCTGCCGTCATATATCAGTCCGTTTTTGATCAGAATGTCGTGCATCATCAGTGTCCTGCTAATTCAACGTAAACGAGCGCCGTTCGACGGCATGCGCTTCAATCTTAGGGCAAGCGGAAGTGCACTGGCAATAACACTCCGGCATTACGTTACACTTGCCCAGACTCAACCGTGAGGTGCGTGATGGCTGACACAATAACAGGACCCTGGCGTCGCCCCAGAAACACATCAGCAAATGAAAAGGGTGGCATCCACGACGATGACACCGCTCAGAACCTGGGCTTTCAGGGCGGCACTATCGCCGGCTCCATTCATATGGAGCAGTTTCCACCGTTATTGGTCGATTACTTCGGCGATGCCTGGTGGTCCAGTGGTGGCATGTCACTCTATTTCAAAGCGGCAACCATCAATCACGAACCGGTGCGTTGCAGCCTTGAAGCCATGACCCCGTCAAAGGCACGCATCTGGATGGAGAACGAAGCAGGCACGATGGTCATGGAAGGGACCGCGTCATTAGGAGAAGACCCTGACTCTGAAGTCAGCAAGCGCGTAGCGGCCGCCCGTGCGCCCAGTGACCTGCGCATGATGCAGGATGTGGTTGTGGGTGCGCCGTCGCCAGATTGCCCTGTCTCTATCAGCATCGAGAGCATTGATGCGCGTCTCGCCGTGATTACCGAACCTATGGCGTGTTACAAAGACGCCAGCTTTTATGGCGGCATAGTTGCCCCGGTTGCACCTTTTGTGCATGCCTTCAGAGCCGTTGAGCCGCACATAATTCCCGTTAGAGGTCCGTATGTGGGTTTGTTTGGATCTATCGAACTTCAGTACCTCAACGGACCAGTGGTTACAGGCCACGATTATGTTGCCCAGGGGCATGTGGTTGCGCTGTCTGACAGTCCTAAAACTGAAATTGTCTGGTATACCGCCACTTTGAATGACGCCTCCTCCGGTGTACCGGTAGCGCGCATGACAAAAATGGATCGGTTGATGAAAGACGCTTCACCTCTTTGGACAGCGTCCCAGTCTTAGACACATGTGCGATCTCTAAAGGGCATGATGAGGTTGCCGCCTGCCAATAGACTGCCTCCGCACTGGTGAGTCTAATCTGAGAACACTGTTATCCTCGGGCGTTCGCTGGCATGCTAAGCGTTGTACATAAACGTCTGAAAACACCAGACTTTCATATCAACTGAGGATATTACATTGCTCAAACTGCACGGATTTTCTTCCAGCAACTACTACAACGTACCCAAACTAGCCCTTCTGGAAAAAGGCATTGCATTTGAGGAGGTCCTGTCTTACACCGGCGTGGGACCGAAGTACAAACCCGAATATCTCGACAAGAGCCCGCTGGGCAAAGTCCCGGCAATTGAAACAGAAGAAGGATTCATCAGTGAATCCCGCGCGATTCTGGAATATATCGAACGTGCTTATCCAACACCCTCACTGCTGCCTGATTCAGCCTTTGGCATCGGTAAAGTCCAGGAGCTGTCGCAGTTCATCGAACTTTACTTCGAACTGGTGGCGCGCCGCCTGATCCCCAACCTGCTTGGCGGTACGCAACCCGACCCTGCGGTATTAAAAGAATTCGAGACCAGCATCAACAAAGCGGCACCCGCACTGGCCAGGCTTTCAGACTTCAAACAGTTTGCCTACGGCGACCAGTTCACACTGGCCGACATCGCAGCCATTCTTAATCTGCCCGTTGTACGCAGCGTTGGTAAAAAGTTTCTGGGTAAAGATCCGTTATCTGATGTACCCGGACTGGATAACTATTGCGAACGCATGGAACAGCGGCCGCATGTGAAGACAATTCGCGCTGATGCAGCTGCAGATCAACCGGGCTTCATGGCGCACCTGAAGGCGCTTTACGGTATCTGATCAGTGGAACTAAATTGCGGGAGTTTTTTAGATGACAACAAGCACTGTGCCTGACGAATTCAATGCAGAATTCATAAAAGAAAAATCTGCACCAGACATGCAGATGTATCGAGCGGAAGTATCCACCTCCGAGCCGATGAAATCAGTGCTTGAAAACAATCCCGACATTTATTTTGTACCTCCCCAGCGAAGTGCCGACTGGGGTAACTGGGCGTTCAAGCCGGGTTCGTACTACGACACCACAACAGGTGCAAAGCATCCTTACTGGCAGGATCACAACCTGCCCCAGGCCACAAAAGACATCGAGCAGCTACGCCAGGATATGGTGCAGTGGGGTTACTGCAAAATAGAAGATGCTTTGTCGGCAGAGCAGGTTGAACGCATGCGGGTTCGCGTGCTTGAGCAGGCAGAAGGCGAACGCCTCGCCGGCATTGCGCAGAGGACCCCCAGTGGTCAGAACATCAACTGCTGTGTCAACAAAGGTCGTTGTTTCGAGCTGTTCATCGAACAACACCACAGTGCCATTCAAGGTGGCCCGTTGATTGAGCAACTCGTCACTGAAGCGCTGGGGCCTGGCTGGGTCTGCACCTCTCTGATTGCCGCTATTTCGCTAAAGGGTGGCGTCCCCCAGGCACTGCATCAGGACCAGAGCAACGCCCTCGATTCTCAAAGCCCCATGACCATTAACCTGCTCACCGCGATCACGGATGTTGATGAAAGCAATGGTGGCACGCTGCTTATTCCTGGCAGTCATGTGACCCTCTCCCAGGCTATGCGCGAAGGCAAACCGGTAGGCAAACTACCTCCGGCAATAAATCTGGATGCAAAGGCAGGCACCGTGGTGATCACCGACGGCCGGCTACTGCACGGCACAGGCATCAACCATACCGATGAGCCGCGCATTGTGATGCTCAACGGCATGCAGAAACCCTGGATGCGCCAACAGGAAAACTGGATGTTGTCAGTGCGCCCGGAGGTATTGAGACGAGCAAGCCCGAAGCTGCTGCATCGTATGGGTTTCCAGGCAACAACCGGCACCCAGACCAATGAAGGTCATGGCTTCGGCGCAAAAGGACTACCCGGTGAAGCTGCTGGCGCTACTGTAGGTTTCCGCATGGCAGCAGATGCCGGCGAATACCTGCGCGTGGGAGAGTTGAGTCCAAGATCAACACAGGATGAACTCAACGCCGCATATACCCTCCGGGAAGTGGTGGGTGCGGCACGTTCAGGTGGCAGAAGCGCGCCGGTGGGTATCAGCGGTACCCGTTCCGACTAACATTCACGTCATCGACTCACGCCTGATGCGACAAACCACCGAGGAATTCTCCAATAACGCCACTGGCCTCCGCCAGGTGTTCAGCGCCATCTGCACCTGAATAGTAGTGCGTTGCGCCCTTCACGATATGCAGTCGTTTCTGCTTGTGGGTGACCGCTTCAAAAAGCCGCGTTGTGTGGCTTGGTGTACACGCATCATCAGCGGAATTGCCTACAACAAGGACCGGCACGCTGATTTTGCTCCCGGACATTATTGCATCGCAACGTGCATCATCAATACTCCACTGACTGAGCCAGCTGCGCAGCGTACAGAATCTCGCCAGCCCCACCGGTCCATCGTTCACAATCTTCGGGTCACCGAGGTAACAGGTGCCAGGCTGTCGATCACTGGGTTCAATGCTTGGATCCAGCCATCTGGGATCGGCCATGGTGCCATGTACAGTAAAGGCAAACTCGCCCCATGGACTGTCTGATGCGCGAATGACTTCAAGTTTGTCGCGAACCCAGGCGGTAATCCGACGATTGCGGGCTATCTGCGCATCAGCAAACGTGGCGAGGAATTCTGCAGAATACGGCGGTTGATTCGGATTGTCCGGATCGTACAGATTAAGGTCACGATCACGCACTTCAGGTTGCGATTCATCCGTTATGGAAGGATCAATCCACTCGGTGAAGATCCGGTGTCGGCTGACATGTGCGGCCAGCATCATAATGGCATTGGCAGGTGGTAAACGTTTTGCATCCACTGTGTACGGATCGCCCGCGGCGGTATCCGATATGCCCTGCCCAGCTTCGGCAAGCGCCTGATACCACATCATCAGGGAGCCCCCACCAGACCAACCCGCAAGCACAATGTTCGTGTAACCCAGACGTTCCCGCGCGTCACAAATAGCTTCACCCAGGTCGCACGCCACCTTTTCCATGATGAGGGCATAATCTGCGCCTCGATATCGAGAGTTAGCCCATAAAACATGATGCCCTTGTCGAGCCAGTTGTCTCACCATCGGCAGGTACATGCCACCGCCAACCGGATGCATGAATACGATGAGCGTATCCGACGGTTGACCCACCGGCCTGATAAGATGGCAGTCGAGTCCAACCGTCGCCCCGCCGCCACCGTATACATCGCTGTAGGTGGCATTCTCCTGAAAACCAACCGCATAGGCGATCCGTTCACAGCCTTTTGGGGTTCCTGGATTAACCGCTGTTGTCATGTGTATTCCCTGCGCATCTTGTTAGCCCACCGCAACCTGTGCTGGACGTTTGCCGTTAGGACCGTACAAGTTCACCTGCATGCTCGAGATAGCATGCACCAGTGGATTGGGTGCGATGGTCTGTTTACCCGTCCAGGCAATGTCTGGGAAACGTTCCAGAATGCGTTCAAAGGCAAGCCGCAGCTGCATCTTTGCGATGCGAGATCCGAGACATTTGTGTACACCATGGCCAAACGCAATATGCTTTTCGACGTTGTCTCGGTGCAGGTTGAACGTATCCGGATCGGGGAAGACGCTTGGATCACGATTGGCGGCGCCGTACCAAAGCACCAGTTTTTCATCCTTGGCTATTTGCTGCCCGTTCAGTTCCGTATCTTCAACCGCCGTACGCCGCATATGCATGACCGGTGACACCATTCGTAATGCCTCTTCAGACATCTGCGGAATGAGTGAGGGATCATCCAATACTATTGCGCGCTGATCTGGAAACTCCGTCAACAACCGAATCGTGCCAGACAGCGAATTCCGGGACGTATCGTTACCGGCAAAAATGATCAGCAACCAGGAGCCGTCCAGAAACTCCTGTGGGAGCAATTCATCGTTCAACTTGGATTGCGCGATCACCGTTAAAAGGTCCTCACGCGGGTTCAGTCGACGATCAGCCATAACCCGCTCGCCATAGGCAAACATATCATTCACCACCGGATTGAATCGAAACGGAAACATCGGCTCAGATAAAAACGTCTGCCAGGGGTTGGATATGAATTGCGCAGCCAGCTCGAGATGGTGCATCCATACTTTGACCTTGGGTCGATCCTCTTCATCAATACCCAGCATTTCACAAAGCGTGTACAGCGGAAGCTCTTCTGAGAACAGCTTTACAAAATCTACAACAGGGCCTTTTCTCTCCAATTCGTCGAGCAGCTGGTCAATTCTTACACCTACTTTGTCTCGAAGCGTCGCCACGTAAGCCGGGAAAAAGAAATCGCTCTGTTGCATGCGCATTTCCCGATGCAGCGGCTCATCAAGATTGATCAGGGAATTGTAGGCTGCTGGTACCAGCTTTTTGGGTCGCCAGTTTTTTCGATCGGGAACCGCCATGTTGATGCTGCCCCGTTGCGAAGAAAAAACCTTATGAGCGAGCTCTACCTCTTTGATGTCGTCGTATCGGGTGACAGACCAGAACCCCGACATGCCCTTCTCCGCCGGTGACCACATCACCGGTGCGTCCTCACGCATCCGCTTATAAAGATCAAATGGATGACCACTTGTCCAGGCGGAAGGATCCCAGAACTTGAACCCTTCAAAGGTTGGATAGATGGCCTCTTGAGTCGGACGCTGCTGTCCCGAATCAATCAGGATGTCGTCACTGATGAGTTTCAAATCTTATTTCCTTGTTCAGCTGCGCACTTAAGCAACGTTCAGCTAAGGGTTATGGATCAACACCTTCAACCAATGGCAGCGATTCATCTTTCACCCACTCGCTCATGGAGCCGTCATAAACAGCAACGTCTTCTTTACCAAACAGAAGACAGGCAAAGGCATCTATGGTTGCTGATATACCACCACCACAATATGCAATGACTGGTTTGTCATCCAACATTCCAGCTTCAGAAAGTGACTGTTTGACTTCATGAGGTGCACGAAAGGCACCGTCATCCAATAGAGAGTCGTAAAATACATTAATACTGTTGGGGATGTGCCCACGGCGCCCATAGTGATGATCGCCGGTACCCGCGTAGACTTCGGGAGACAGTGCGTTGACTGTGCATATGCCGACATTGTCCATCGCTGCCACAACCTCGTCCTGATTCACAAACCGGTGAGGTAACGTTGTCGACGACCAGCTCTGGGCTGCATAGGTACTCGTCTCGGTTGAACACTCCATCCCGGCTTTTTTCCAGGCGCGCAGTCCGCCATCAAGGATCGCAACACGTTTATGCCCGCAATAGTGCAGCAACCACCAGGCCCGGGTGGCCCACATGGTCATGCCACTGGAGTAAAAAACTACGTCGCTGTCTGCAGTAATACCGGCGTCGGCAAAACCTTTGATCAGCAGATCATCTTCGAGGCGGGTGAAGCCCAGCGAACTGCTACGGTCGGACAACTGGGTCACTTGGTTAATGAAAGCAGCCCCAGGCACATGCCCTTCGTCATAAGTCTGTTGACCCGAATCTGCTTTGTATCCGCCTTTGGGGTTGGGTACCAGATGAATAGCCACATCAAAAAGACGCAAATCGTCGTTACCCAGCTTACTAGCCAGTTCTGTTGGAGAGATAAGGTATTGGGGATGGGTGAAAGCCACAGTATTTCCGCCTTGAGCAATGGTCGAACCCTACTGTAAGACGGATGATGGAGCGGTTCCAGTCGCAAAGTCTGCAGACGTTGCTGAATCAACAACGGTGCCAAGCATAGATCTTCGCAACTCACACACTGGAAATAATCACCCATAAAGGATAGTTTTTGCGCTATCGAAATCTTAAGAAGCATTCCCGTGGGTGAAACAAATACATTTAGAGCTGAAGTGGCGAGCTGGCTCGCCGAAAATTGTCCTGAAGGCGCTCGTGGCCCAGGTCAGATCGCCAGTGGTTCAAGCAAAATTACGCTGGAGCCAGATACCGCACTGTGGCTCGAACGTATGTCAGAACGCGGTTGGACCGTGCCCACGTGGCCAACTGAGTATGGTGGCGGTGGCCTGACCGCAGCCGAAGCAAAAATTTTGTACGATGAAATGGCGGCTATCGGCGCCCGTTCACCTCTGATGGGCATGGGCACATCAATGATCGGCCCGACCCTGCTTGAATACGGTACCGAAGACCAGAAACAACGCCACTTGCCGAAAATTGCACGCGGCGAATACCAGTGGTGCCAGGGCTACTCAGAACCTAACGCTGGCTCCGACCTGGCAGCCCTCACCACACGGGCCGTGGATAATGGCGATCACTTTGTTATCAACGGACAGAAAATCTGGACGTCCGGAGCCGCCACCGCCGACTGGATGTTTATCCTCGTGCGCACCGATCCGGATGCACCCAAACACGAAGGCATAAGCTTCATGCTGATGAGCATGGACCAACCCGGCGTCACTACAAAACCCATTCGCCTGATATCCGGTTCGTCACCCTTCTGCGAGACTTTTCTGGACGACGCCATCGCACAGAAAGTAGATCTGGTTGGAGAGCTAAACAAGGGCTGGACCATCGGCAAACGCTTACTGCAGTTCGAACGCTCGGGTATTGGTGGGCTCACCGGTGGGGCGCGAGCCGCGGACCCAGCTAAAACAATGGTGCGGGTGGCCAAAGCCTACATCGGCGAAGAAGACGGCAAGATTGCGGATACCGCCATGCGCGACACCATTCTTGATATGAACATGCGACGTGCTGCTTTCGGATATACCGCACAGCGTGCCAACGAAGAAAACAAGTCAGGCATTCCTGGGGCTGCAACGTCCATCTTCAAACTGGTCGGCGCAGGCTTGCAGCGCGATGGCGCCGATCTGAAACGACAGATCATGGGTTTCCGTGGACTCGGCGCGCATGAGGAAGTGGGCTTCACCGCTGATGAACTCAAGGCAACAGAAGAATTCCTGCACCTGCGCACCACAACGATTTACGGCGGCAGCAACGAGGTTCAGTCCAACATTATCGCCAAACGTGTACTCGGCCTGCCTGACTAGGGACACAACAGGCGAACACGGCTGTTGCAATGGTGCTTGTACTTCGAGGCAGAGACGGAGTTACTAAAGCCGCGCAGATGCTCCTGCAAGGTCAATGCGTGGCGCTGCCTACAGAGACCGTCTATGGGCTTGCTTCTGATGCCCGCAACGACCAGGCGGTTGCCAGGGTCTTCAGCGCCAAAGGTCGGCCAACCAACCATCCCCTGATTGTGCATATTCCTTCCGCCGAACACCTGGATGACTGGGCAACTGACGTGCCCTGTGCAGCCAGGACACTGGCTGCGCACTTCTGGCCGGGACCTTTGACCCTGTTACTTAAAAAGTCAGAAAACACAAGCCTGGTTGTCACGGGTGGTCTGGATACAGTTGCACTTCGGGTGCCCTCCCATCCATTGTTTCTGGAGGTACTGGCAAGGGTTGCCACAGGCCTCGCTGCGCCCTCTGCGAATCGCTACAAGGCACTGAGCCCAACCACAGCCGATCAGGTGGTCAGCGGGCTTGATGGGCATATCTCAGCCGTGCTGGATGGCGGACCGTGTGAATTCGGCCTGGAATCAACCATTGTCGATTTAACAGCGGATGTACCGCGCATCGTGAGAGCCGGCCCGATAACCCAAGCCATGCTTGAAGAAGTATTAGGTCGCGCTGTTGATGCACCCACTGAACATGATGCCGTTGTGCCCGGTAATGTTCGCGCGCACTACCAACCCCGCACCCCTCTGCGCAAGCTCACGCTGTCGGCACTCGCACGTGAAGACCTCGCGCCCGGCGCCGGGGGATTCATTGTTTACAGCAGTCAGGTCGCAGCAAGGCTGACAGCCATGGGGGTAGCTGATAGTGCCCTCTGCCAATTACCTGATAATGCAGCGGCTTATGGCAAGCAGCTCTATGCAGCGCTGCATCAGATGGATCAACTGGGTGCGAAAACACTTTTTGTAGAAGAACCACCGCGCGGTGATGACTGGTCTGCAGTCAATGATCGGCTCAAGCGTGCGCTCGGCTAAACCTAAACACCCTGCTCTACCGTTACTTATTGCTCTTCAAATGCCCAAACACCCATTCCAGAGCGTTGGGTGAACCCATGGCGCCGTCGCCTGACCTGGGCATATCGCCGGCTGCAAAGTCATGCAGGGTAGCCTGACCATCGCGAATATGCTCCGGTAACGGCGCACCCTCCACCCCTTCTTTTTCCGTGGCAAACAGCGGCGCTGACCTTGCCCAGTTGAGCTGTGCAAAATAGCCGGCACCGGCTTCAAAGATTTTCGCTTCAGATTGACACTCGGAGTGAGCCAGCCAGGCCACCATGGCGGATACTTTTTCCGGACCCATTCTGTCCAGTATTTCTGCTGGAGCGCGTTTCAACTCAGACTTACCCTTTGCCACCCGGCTGGCAGAGATGTTGGCATTTAAATCCTGCACCATGCGGGTATTGGCCTGGGGCACAATGACGTTACATTTGATATCAAGCTTCAGTTTGCGCGCTTCAAACTGCAGTGAATTAGCAAGGCCAATCACCCCGGCCTTGCTCGCTGCATACGCCGCAACACCCGCGCCATATATAGCAGGTGAGGCAGTCACAACACAGCGACCGTATCCTTGTTCAACCAGCACCGGCCAGGCCGCCTGCATAACGGAGAAAACACCCGTCAGGTTCACATCAATTGTTTTCTGCCAGGATTCGAGGGTGAGTTCGCTCCACGTTTGTGGCGTGATGATGCCGGCATTGTTAATGACGATATCTATCCGGCCAAAGGCTTGCAGACCTGCCTCTATAATCGCCTGACCCTGTTCCACCGAGTCGTAATTGGCAACGGCCTCTCCGCCTGAAGCACGGATTTCATCCACCACTTCATCCGCCACCTGATGCTGCGCATTACCGGAACCGTCGTAAGCAATACCCGGGTCGTTAACAATGATTTTGCAGCCGCGAGACGCGAGCAACAGTGCATGTTCGCGACCAAGACCGCGGCCTGAACCTGTAATGAGTGCAACCTGTCCGTCATAGCGTAATTCGTCAGTAGCCAATGTGGTGTCCCGTTGAGATGTTGATTAAGTTGTCAGTCGAAGTGCTTGTCGGGCCACCTTAGCAGGTAGTCGATCTTAGTGTGTTCCCAAATTGGGGCTGGGGCTGGGGCTGATGTTGCCATCCACACCTCAACGCGGAGGTTGATTGCAGTTAAGCAATTCCAGGGAAGCTTTAGTTGTAGACGCCGCGTACAGCTTCCACCTGTTCGGTGAGCTTTTGAAGTGGTAACGCATCCATGCTGAGATCTATACCAATCCTTGCAAATACCGGCGCATCTGCCCAGGGTTCATCACAAAGAGGCGTATCGGGACCAGCGCGGTTAACCAGCAGAAGCGCTGCAGATACAAGGTCGACATAGTCGACATCGGTGCCTTGCCTGATGGGTGACATGTACCCTTCCGGCACGCTGATAATCTCCTCAGCGAAATTCCAGCGCATCAGAATCATGGTGCCAATCACAGGATGAATGCTTTCAATCACTCGATCGAGGGTTTTGCTGTCATTCAACAGATCATCGTTTTCTTCAGCCCAGCTCAAGATGGGCAGTACACCAATAGAGTGTGTAAGCCCTGCAAGGGTTGCCTGGTCCGGGCGCAACTTGGTAAACCGTTTGGCGAGCACGGCACTCCAGGCAGCAACGTCTGTAGAGGTTTTCCAGACTTCTCGCATCTTGTTATCAATCAGCTCCGAAGTCGCCTGAAACATGTGATTCATGGCAAGACCCGTGACAATATTTGCGGCGTATTCCACACCCAAGCGACTGATCGCTTGAGCTAGGTCATCTATGGGGCGCGCCGCCATGAACATCGGTGAATTTGCGGTCTTGACGAGCTGCGCAGCTAGCGCTGGATCCTCGCCAACCACCTTACTGAGTGATACTGCACTGACGTTCCTGGACTGGGCTTCATCGCGGATGCGCAGCGCTACTTCTGGCAGCGAAGGCAAGTCCAGTTCGTCGGCTTTCAGAGCCTGTCTGATATCTGTAGAAATCTGCTCAGCGATCTGCGCCATAGTCGTTTTTACCTGGAAATATCTCTTCAGTATAGACAAGATCCAGAATGCGCAAGCGGAAACCCGCCGACACCGTGCATGTGTTTGTCAGACCTATGCAAAACGCTACTTTACTGCGGCTATGTGACCCTCTTACGTCTGGCAAGACTGGGATCCAGGTGGGCATCAGTCGATATCACTGACTCCAGAGCCTCTACCAGTCGCCAGACATCAGCATAACGCAGGTACAGTGGGGCAAACCCGATACGGAGAATATCCGGTGCGCGGAAATCGACCACCACGCCGTTTTTGATTAACGCCTGACAGATCTGGTAAGCATCAGGGTGCCGATAGGAGAGCTGGCTGCCTCGTTGCTCAGGTAACGAAGGGGATACTAGAGTCAGCGTACCCAGCACAGGTTTGGATTCGATCAGCGCCTGGCAGAGGCTTCCCAGTGCCATGGACTTGTCCCGCACCATGCGCATATCCAGGTTATCAAAGACCTGCAGAGCCGCGTGCAAAGCAGCTAAAGACAGGATCGGCGGGGTTCCGCTGGCAAAACGCTCGATACCTTCAGCAGGCCGGTACTCAGACTCAAAAGCGAATGGCTCTGCATGGCCCATCCAGCCCTGTAGAGGTTGACGCGCCAAGTCCTGATGGCGCTTGGCAACATACAAAAAGGCCGGTGCACCGGGTCCGCCGTTCAGATACTTGTAACCGCAGCCAACCGCGAGATCAACCTGATCAGCATCAAGACCCAGAGGCAGTGCTCCTGCACTGTGGGCCAGGTCCCACAAAATCAACGCGCCACATTCGTGAGCGGCTGCGGTGAGACCAGACATATCGTGCAAACGACCCGTTCGGTAGTCGACATGCGAGAGCATCACCAGTGCTACCGACTCATCAAGCGCTGCGGGAATATCATCGAGTGGCAGGGCTTCCAGCAGAGCCCGTTCCGGACCAAGCAGATCCACCAGTCCTTGAGCGATGTACTGGTCGGTTGGAAAGTTGGCAGTGTCAGTCAAAATGCGCGTGCGTCCCGGACGCAAGCGCAGTGCCACGCACAATAGTTTGAACAGGTTTACCGAAATCGAGTCCGCAACCAGGACCTGATCAGGACCCGCGCCAATGACAGGCGCGATCAACTCACCAGCCACGCGGGTAAGTCCGATCCAGTCATGGTCGTTCCATCCACCTATAAGGCTGGCACCCCATTCCACCTCGGTCGTTTGGGCGACGCGGCGACGCGCTTCGTGGCTCAGCGCACCCAGCGAGTTACCGTCAAAGTAGGCCATGCCTGTTGGGAGGTCGAACTGCAGGCGATACCCGGCCAGCGGATCATCGCGGTCCATTGCCAGGACAGAAGGCGGATAACTCTGCTCATCTTCACGGGCCATCAACGATGCCTCGGAGTGTCGTCTGGAGGGTATTGAAGGCTGCGGTACCTGAATGCAGCCAATCAAAGTGGCCCACCCCTGCCACCATCACACGTGAGGCGCCATCAAGATCGCTAAAGACGGAAGGTACAATGGTATCGGCCTCCCCACTCAGCACAACTGTTAAAGGGTGTGGCGTTAAATTTACGGGATCGGCGCAGCGATAAGCATCCGGCAAGTCTGCAGGCTGGCCACCCATAAAACGGCGCACCATTTTCTGACAACTGTTATCTCCCGCACCGTAGCGCGCGAGCCGGGCAATGGGTGAGAGAGCAACGACCGCTTCAACAATGGGGTCAGCGTGCGTGGCCATGCCAGCGCCAAGCAGCAGCGCCAGATGACCTCCCGCGGAGTGTCCGAGCAGAATAACAGGGCGCGCAGCTGTCTGGTTCGCGATGACGCGGACAGCCTCTTCTGCATCCTCCAAACTCCCTGGCCAGCCTCCACCGGCATCACCCACCCTGCGATACTCCACAGACCAAACGATGTAACCAGCGTCTGCCAGCGCAGTCGCGACGGGGCCAGTGTGCGTTAAATCATATTCGTTAGACCAACAGCCGCCGTGAAGAAGGATCAGAGTTGCAAGCGATGCCCGCTGCGGACGCCATACCGACATAAATTGTTCAGGCGCTGCGCCATAATGCAGAGTTTCATCTGGCATACGTGCATCGAGATCGCTGAGTTCAGTAAAGGACACAGGTCCACGAGCAAGGGGGTTTTTCAGAGGATACTCCCACTTGAATTTTCAGCGATGCACACGTCAGATCAGCCTATTCGCCCACGGCCCCTCTGATGGGAGACACGGGCTCATTCACCTGCTGATTCAGCAACTCGGATACCGTTGCACCTGCACGTCTTCTGGCCAGCCAGTCTTCAGGATCGTACTCCACCCCTACCGGGTTCGCTTCGAACTTCGGACCATTCATATAATCTACCGCTTCATCCCCTGACTCGAAGCAGTCGACCTGAAACTCCATCTGATTCCCGTCCGGATCCTTGTAATACATGGACGCGGTGATGCCATGGTGAACACACCAGTAGGGTGTCACCTGCTTTTCTTTAAGATGTTCATAGGTGTCGAGCAGATCGTCGAGACCTGCATAGGTATAAGCAACATGGTCAACGCCAACAAGCCCTTTTTTTTCAGCCTCTGTGTCGTCAGGCCTGACCACATCCAGATCTATCATTGCAAGACGATGATGCTCCCCATCGTAGGAAAGAAAGGCCATCGCAGGATTCTGGTGGTGAATGTCGGCGTCAAAGACAAGCGTGTACCAATTGAGCATTTCAGCGAATCGATGAGTTCTATATACAACATGGGCGAACTTCGAAGGTTGTGCGCGTGGCATTGACTACCTCTAAAAACTTGGACTGTAACGTCGATTTTTACTACGTCGCGCTGATTAAATCCACCTGAAGATACCGGGTAAGTGCTGACCTGTTCCGGTGGTGCGCAGTTGTATTGATGGTGTTGTTGATCAACAAACATCACTACACTGCTACTGAACTTGATTTACTGAGCTTTCTTGCAACAATCTTCATCCCATCAGTCCCCTGCAACACCCGAGATAAATATCGGGGGTTTCACGCAAGGAAAGGTAGGTCGCCACCTGGTGCGACTGGGCTCCTTCATGGCCATGGGTACGTTAACCATGAACGTGGCGCAGTTAGCCGAAGCGGTGTATCTGGGCATGTTAGGCACGGAAGCGCTGGCCGCCATGGGTTTTGCCTTTCCCCTGACGATTACCCTGTTTGCCTTCGCCGGCGGCATTGGCAGCGGTGCATCATCTGTTATCGCACGCGCCATGGGTGCTGGTGAACGCGCGCAGGCCTCCATTCTGGTCACTCATGCGCAGATTTTGTCCGTGGTGGTTGGTGTTGTCCTGGCGGTCGTTGGCTACGTTTACGCCTACCAGATAGTGTCTGCTCTGGGCGCTCAGGATTTAGTCCTGGAGCTGACCGTCGCCTATCTGCAGGTCTACATGATTGGTGTGCCGTTCTTTCTATTGTCGATCGTAGGTTCAACTTTGCTGCGCGCAACCGGCAGTGCAGCCAGCCCAGGCATTGTCATGACGGTGGGTTCAGTAATTCAAATTGCGCTCGGTCCAGTATTGATCTTCGGTTGGTTTGGTTTGCCGGAACTCGGCATTGCCGGTGCGGCCTGGGCATACGTTATCTCTCGCATCTCCAGTGTTGCTTTATACGCAGTACTCCTGGCCAAAGCGGAACTCATGACATGGCAGCTTAAAGGGATTGGACAATCCTGGATGGCTATCATGCACGTTGGCGCACCGGCGATTGCCAGCGGTCTGGTGATGCCAATTTCTATGCTGGTGATTACCCGTTTACTGGCTAATCACGGGCACGAAGTGGTTGCAGCTTATAACGTCGCCTCACGAGTAGAAACCATCGCACATATGATTCTGTGGTCGTGCTCGTCTTCTGCTGAGCCCTTTATTGGGCAGAATTGGGGTGCCCGGCAGTATGACCGTGTACGCCGCGCGCTCTTTCTGTGCCACTCGTTTTGTCTCGCCTGGGGTGCAGCCACCTTCTTCTTTATGATTGCTTTTGGCGCTGCCCTGGTGAGCCTGATCGACGACAACCCCCAGGTGGTGGCAACGGCTGAGACATTTTTTCTGATCATTCCGCTGAGTATCGGTTTCATGGGCATGATGCAGGTGGCAAATTCATCGTTTAATGCTCGCGGCCTGCCCCGCCCAGCGCTGATTATCTCGTTGCTGCGCGGGGTAATTCTTGGCATTCCGCTCGCCATTTTAGGTGATATGTTGTGGGGCTATACCGGCATATTTGCAGCTACCGCGATCACCAATGTCTTGTTAGGCGTACTCGCCTGGCAATGGAACAGACGCAGCGTTGAGCGACAAGCCAGCGCTTAGAGAACTCACCTCACTACTGTATCGCTAGCATAACCTTCTGCCTGCAGCTTATCTGTTGCGTGCAAAAATGTTTTTCATCTCGACATGCTCCCAGGTGAGCGTTTAACTTGTCAGTACTCTCAATACAAAAATCGGAGCGCTCGCAAACATGAAAGATTTCAGACTCGGCGTCTGCTACGACTTTAGAAACCCACCGGATTCCGGCCATTCAAATTCCTTTCTTTATGGTCAGGTGATGGAGCAGGTGAAATGGCTGGATGAAATTGGCGCCGACCTTGTCTGGTTCACCGAGCATCACTTTGTAGAAGACGGCTACCTACCCAGTTGGGTGCCAGTCGCCGGCGCGATGTCTGCCGTGACCAAAAACGTCCGCTTTGGCACCGATATTTGCCTGGCGCCATTTAATCATCCCGTGCGCCTTGCCGAAGATCTCGCAGTGCTGGACAATCTTTCCGGCGGACGCGTTGAACTGGGTTTGGGTATGGGCTATGCGCCTCACGAATTTCGAGGCTTCGGCTTTCCCGTCAGCCGCCGCGTTTCGCTGATGAACGAATCAATCGAAATCCTGCAACAGTGTTTCAGCGGCGAAAAATTCAGCTTTAACGGCAAACGGTATCAGCTGCAAGACGTACAGATTACCCCTGGCTATGTGCAAGAAGGTGGCCCGGCTTTATGGGTTGCGGCTATGTCAGAAGCAGGCGCACTGCGCGCTGCTAACTACAACACCAATTTTTTACCCCAGGGGCTCAAAGCAAAGTCTTTTGACCCCTGGGTTTCCGAAGTCCAGGCATTGGGACGTCAACCTTCTGACCATAGAGTCGGTATCATTCGCAGCATTCTCGTTACAGAAGACAAAGACAGCGACTGGCAGGTCGTTCGTGCTGCAGAGCGCTACCGAATGGCCTTGTATCAGAAATTTTTTGCCGAGAGCGGTGAAGGTTTCGGCGACAAAGGTGAACCGGTGCCACAAACCTGGATTGTTGGCGACGTTGATCACTGTGTTCAGGAGATCCTTTCATTCATCGAGAAGTTTGGTATCACTGATATTGTATCCATGGCAGTCCCGCCAGGATTGCGTACCGAGCAAATGGCCACAAGCCTGGAAAAACTTTTCACCCAGGTATCCCCACGGGTCAAAGCAGCGCTGTCGCAGGGTTTTGCGTGACAGCCTTAGGCGGACATTACCTTACCGCGCGGAACGCCCCGGAGATAACCGAACACGTTTGGTCATTCAGCGATCCTTAGCCGGAGTAACCACCGCCTAATATCAAGGTTCTGCTTACCTAAGCTTTGCGCCGCACCTTAACGGGCAGGTGCGTATACCCTTTTACAAACGACGAGAAGGTTCGAGTGGGCTCATCCTGCGCTTCGATCTTCTCAAATCGTTTGAGGATCTCCTCCCATAAAATGCGCAGCTGCAGTTCAGCAAGACGATTACCCATGCAGCGATGAATGCCGAACCCGAATGACAAGTGCTGTCTCGAGTTCGGCCGCTCGATATCCAACGCATCCGCGTTCTCAAAAACCTCTTCGTCCCGGTTACCCGACACATACCACATGAGCACCTGGTCACCCGCTTTGATCTGCTTGCCACCTATTTCGCAATCCACATTTGCAGTGCGGCGCATATACGACAACGGCGTTTGCCAACGGATCAATTCAGCAACCATCTTGGGGATAAGTTCCGGATGCGCGATCAGTTTGTCGTATTGCTCCGGAAATTTATTCAACGCGTAGACGCTCCCGGACATGCTGTTACGTGTTGTATCGTTGCCGCCCACAATAAGCAGGATCAGGTTGCCGAGATGTTCAATTGCCTCCATGTCTTTTGTGGTTGCACCATGCGCCAGCATGGAAACGAGATCATCACCGGGATTTTTTCTACGTTCTTCCCACAGCCTGGAAAAGTACTGCACACACTCAATAAACTCTTCTGTTTTCTGTTCCTGAGTTTCTACAAGGCCACCCGGCTCAGGTATGGCAAAGGTAATATCCGACCAGCGTGTCAGTTTGGCTCGATCTTCTAATGGAAAATCAAACAATGTAGCCAGCATGAGTGTGGTCAACTCTATGGACACTTTCTCAACCCAGTCAAAGGTCTCGTTTTCAGGCAGTGAGTCCAGCACCTTGCAGGTTCTCTGCCGAATCAGCGGCTCCAGTTTGGCAAGATTATGAGGTGCAACAACACCGGTGACTGTTTTTCTCTGATCGTCGTGCTGGGGAGGATCCTGGCTGATAAACGGTGGCTTGCTGCCTTCAACAAAACTGGCCGGCGCGCCTGCTTCCGGGCGGATACCCAGCGTTATGCCTTGCGCGGAAGAAAATCTCTTCCAGTCTGCATCGACAGCTTTAATGTCTTTATATTTGGTTAAAGACCAGTAGCGACCAGCGGTTTCAATTTCGTTGAAGTGAACCGGATCTTCCTTGCGCAAGCGTTCGAATACTTCCTGCCAGCGGTTGTCGCAGAACAGATGGGCATTCAGCGGGTTGATATCCTCTATCAACATATCCTGCGGATCCGGGGTGTTTGCCCCTTTTGCCGCCTGTTCCTGTTCGGGTGTCACAAATTGGGGTGTACGCACTGCTTCGCTCATGTCTCACCTAAGTCTTTAAGAATAATTTACACGCCGAATGAATGTTCGGACATCCGGGTATTAAAAATACCACAACTTGACCATTTGTTGCGCGCTGTTGGCACCTTCTCAAAGACGCGCCGGCAGTACGCGTCGGTAGTAAACGTGGCACACTAAGGCTTGAGAACCTTTTGGAGAGAAGAACTTGAACACTATCCTGTGCATCCGAAAAACGTTGTTTACGGCAACCTGCTTACTGGTGGCAAGCATGTTATCCGCCTGTTCACCACCCCCCGAATCCACCGAGCAAGTACAGCCCCAGGCAACCACCGATACATCCGAAAGCCAGGACAACACCGTTGTAGGTCTTGTCAGCCAGGCGCAAGCAATACATGATCGTGTGCTGGTATTAGACGCGCATGCCGATATCGTGCCGCCGGGTACCACTTCGCGATACGGCGATGCAGATGGCTCATCACAAGTGGCACCTAACAAGATGGCAACGGGCGGCGTTGATGCGGTTGTGCTCGCTGTTGCTGTGGGCTCCGGGCCGCGGACGCCTGCAGGGGATGCCGAAGCGCGGGCCATGGCGGATGTGGAGCTGGCTGGTGTCATGGCTATTGCTGATGCAGACGACCGGGTGGTTGTGGTGCGTTCCGCCGACGAGCTGGAGCAGGCGCACGCAAACGGCGAAATAGCGTTACTGTTAGGCTTCCAGAATGCGCGCATCCTGCAGGGCAGCGTCGATGCGGTAAACGAATTTTATGATGCTGGCGTGCGTGTATTTGCCCTGACGCACCTGGGCCACAATGATTTTGCCGACTCATCCAGACCGGTTTACATTGCTGAGAGTGGCGGCTATGAACCTACCGAAGAACATGGCGGTTTGTCGGCTCTTGGCAAGGCGGCCATTGCTCGCATCAATGAACTTGGTGCTGTGGTAGACGTCTCCCAGTTGTCGAAACCCGCCACATTACAGGCAATAGAATTATCGCAGACACCGGTTATTGCCAGCCATTCGAATGTCAGAGCACTGTCGGATGTGGCAAGAAACTTATCCGATGAAGAAATTGACCTGATTGGCGCGACGGGGGGCGTAATTCACATTGCTGCATTTACCGCCTATTTATTGGACATATCCGACCCACAGCTGATTGAGAACATCAAAGCCATCCGGCGTGAGGCGGGTATAGATGAGAGGTATTCCTATCCTTATGAACTCTATTGGGAAATTGACAATCCCGAGGAACAAACCGCGTTTCTGACCGCTATGCGAGACCTCCTGGGGCCAACAACAGTAAGCCGCATGGTGGACCACATTGATTATCTGGTGGAACGCATCGGCATCGACCATGTCGGCATCGGCAATGACTTTAATCATGGCGGCGGTATTGCGGATTTCCGAAATGCTGAAGACGCCCTGAATATGACCCTGGGTTTACTGGAGCGTGGCTATTCCGCCGAAGATATTGAAAAGATCTGGAGCGGAAATTTTATCCGGGTGATGCGTGTTGCAGAAGCCAACTAGATAACGTACGCATCCCCGGTTGCGCGTACCGTGATTTCCGCAATCGATACACCCCAGGGTTGGTTGATGGCATAAACAATCTGATCTGCAAGGTATGCCGGCTCAAGCGCCCAGTACTGCACGTTGTTACTGTCTAACTCCTCTGGAGACAAAGCACCCCCTGCCGCAGCGGCAAACTTGCCCATATAAGCCGTTGCGTTTGCGCCGAGGATGCCCGCCACCGCTTCCGGATTCACCACCCCGGTGCCCAGCGCTGTTGCAGGTACCCCCGTGGGTTTCACTGTGGTGACCTTGATTTTGCCCAGGGACTCCTGGCGCAGGGATTCCGACAGGAAGGTCACCGCCGCCTTGGTTGCCCCGTATACACCCCCACCCACCACCGGATAGTTGCCATATATGGAGGACACATTAACGATGTGTCCACGACCTTGTTGGATCATCACATCATGTGCAGCAGCTATCCCGTTCAACACCCCTTTGAAATTGATATCGATACAGCGGTCCCATGCATCATGTGCCGCATGGTGATCGCTGAAGAATGCCAACGGCATCACGCCGGCGTTGTTGATCATCACATCAACACGTCCAAACGTGTCTACCGCGTGTTTGACCAGGGCCATCATCTCTGACCTGGCGGTCACATCAACTTTCATTGCAGTAATACGCGCACCTCGTGAGGCAAGCGGTTCCACCACCTCATCCAGGGCGCTTTTGTTGATGTCCCCGGCAACCAGACAGGCTCCCAGAGCGGTCAGTTTTTCACTGACCAGTTTGCCAAACCCGCTGGCCGCGCCGGTAATAACGATGACCTTGTTTTCAATATGGTTGCTCATAACACTCTCTTTCTGACATCTGCGTAAACTGTTTTCAGCCTGGCGACACAAGCCGGTAGCGGACCGGCAGGTGTTTAAACCCGTGCACAAAACTCGCGCGCAGATACTCGCCTTCACCGACCAGCGTCATCTCCTTTATACGCGGTATGAGCTGGGTGAAGAAGATACGCATCTGCATACGCGCCAGGATCAGACCCAGACACTGATGTGGTCCGGTACCAAATGCCAGGTGGCGATTTGGTTTGCGAGTGATGTCAAATTTGAAGGGATCATCAAACACGTCTTCGTCGAAGTTGGCTGATGCGTAAAACAGCCCCAGACTTTCACCCTTTTTAATCTTCTGTCCGCGAAGTTCGTAGTCCCGGGTGGCTGTGCGGCTGAACTGATTAACCGCCGTGGTCCAGCGGATCATCTCTTCCACCGCCAGCTTTACCGTATCTTCATCATCAATATTATCTTTCAGCAGCTGCAGCTGCTCAGGATTGCGCAACAGCGCATGCATGCCGCCTGAAATTGAGGTACGGGTGGTCTCATGGCCGGCGGTGGCAACGATGATGTAATAAGAAATGAGCTCTTTGTACGGCAGGTACGCCCCGTTGAGTTTACCGTTAGCAATGTAAGAAGCGAGGTCCTCCCGCGGATTGACTCGTCGCTCTTCGGTCAACTCAGTGAAATAGTCGTAGAGCGATTTCACTGTTTCAATGCCTGAAAGGGGATCGTCTCCCGCGCGCATCATTTCCGGGTCTTCGCCAGCAAACAGCTCGTTGGTCAACTTCAGGATCAGCGGCTCGTCCTCCTCCGGGACACCAAGCAACTCTACAATGAGTTTAAGGGGCGGCCATACGGCCACATCCTGCACAAAATCCAGTTCGCGCTCTCCACCGTCGCCCATCATGTCATCGATGATAGATTCGGTGATCATATTCAAGCGATCTTCCAGGGCTTTGATGTTGCTGGGTTTAAACCAGGGTTGAACCAGCGCACGATAATTCGTGTGATCCGGCGGGTCCATCTGTACCAGAGATCTGATCAAACCCTGCTCTCCCGCCGTGGCCAGCACTTCGAGCAGCTTAGGCCGGTCTTCCAGACGTTTGAAAATTTCCATAATCAGCTCTTCGCGCATTTCAGGCTGGGTCTGCTCAGGTATGAGAATCGGCCGCGGCTCGCTGGCAAACACTTCCGGATTCTTTTCGATCTCAATAATGTCAGCGTGTTTGGTCACCGCCCAGAAAGGCCGGTAATGCTCCGGTTCAACCCAGCGCAGCGGATCGTTTTTACGCAACCAGGTAAACGCATCGTGCGGATGACCGATCCGCCCATAAACCTCTGGTGCGATGACATCATCATCACGAAATTCATAATTTTGCGCCATGGCACAGCTCCCCATCTGTCAAATGTAACTCAGGAGTATAGAGGCTGCCGAGTCAGTCTATACTAGGGAAAACCGCTACGCGCACGCTCAGCTGGGATAGTTGAATTCGCCTGAGGTAGACTGGCCACTCGCCAATCTACCAAGTGTCCGCACCATGAGTCATTCTATTGCCATAATTCTGCGTCAGCTGCGTATCGGTGCGGGTATGCTGTTCATACTCTGCAGCCTTGATGTTGCCGCCGCCCAGGCGTCTTTACCCACTTTGGCAGCCGATGTTGTCATCCATCGGGATGAATGGGGGGTACCACATATTCGCGGCAAATCAGACGCTGCTGTCGTGTTCGGCTCAGCCTGGTCTCAGTGCGAAGATCATTTCTGGCAACTCGAAGATACCTACATCAAAGCGCTCGGCCGTTCTGCAGAAGTCTCCGGGGAACAGGGCCTGCAGAGTGACCTTAATGTCGCCCTGTTTGAAATCACCACCCGCGCGGAACGGGACTTTCCTGACCAGCCAGACGAAACCCGGACACTGGCCAATGCCTTCGCTGCAGGTTACAACTTTTATCTCGAGCGCAATCCTGACATCACCCCACGCCTGCTCACCCGTATGGAGCCCTGGCATGTGCTTGCCTATGAACGTTACATGATGTTGGGACGCCTGCTGGGTGCAGCGCACGCGCCATCACCACAGGCAACCGTGCTGGAAGAAGAGCAGCGCGCCTCGCTTGGTTCAAATCAGTGGGCGATCGGTCCAGAGCGCACCCGCAACGGCACCGCCATGCTGTTCATCAATCCACATCAGCCCTGGTACGGTCCGGGCATGTTCACTGAAATGCATGTCAAAAGTGACTCAGGCTGGGATTTTTCCGGCGCCATGTTTCCCGGTTCACCGTTCCCAACCGCAGGATTCAATAACCGCCTGGGGTGGGCGTATACCGTCAACGAAGCAGACATCGCTGACGTCTATCGTCTGACTTTCGATCACCCTGACGACCCCGATCAGTATCGATATGGTGATGGGTGGCGACGCGCAGACTCATGGCAGGCACAGATCAAGGTGGCTGGGGAGGCTCAACCGCGCCAATACCAGCTACGCCGCAGTCACTATGGACCGGTGATCAAACAGGAAGACGAACACCATTTTTTAGCTGCCCGGGTACCCCGCCTGCATAATGGCTCACGCATGCAGCAATCCCTGGCTCAGTCTCGTGCACAGAACTTTGAGCAATGGTATGCGGCAGCCTCTACATTGCAGCTGCAGACGTTCAACACCATGTACGCTGACGCTGATGGCAACATCTTCTATCTGTACAACGGCACAATCGCCAAACGCAAGGTCGGGGTCGATTGGACCCAACCCGTCGACGGGTCGGATCCGGAAATGGAATGGGGCGACTTCCACCCTATTGAAGAACTGCCTCAGGTACTCAACCCACAGTCCGGCTTTATGCAGAATTGTAATTCTTCACCCTTCACCACCACCGACGACGACAACCCATCCATGAAGGACTTCCCGGCTTATATGGTGGAGGATGCCACGGATGATAAGCGTCGCGCCAAGCTGTCACGCTGGCTGCTGCGCCAGGCCCGGGACGTCACTTTCGAGGACTGGCAGGCAATGGCTTACGACACCACTTTGTATTGGCCGATGACTGAGCTGCCCAGATACCAGCAGCGTCTCAGGCACTTGGCATTGTCTGATCCCGAGCTCGCTGACCGGGTGCAACCTTACTTATCGCACCTGCTCGACTGGGACTACCGCAGCACAATCGACTCAACCGCGACAACATTGGCTGTAGCCTGGTACGAAACACTTTATGGGCGAGGCTATCCGGTAGAGACGTTAAAAGCAGAATTCACCACCGACATCCCTGCTCGATTCGAAGCGCTGATAGAAGCGGCAGACATGCTGGAGGAGCGTTACGGCAGTTGGCAGGTGCCCTACGGGCAGGTGTATCGCATTCAGCGACATGCACCTTACAGTGACGTTGCCGACGTGCCATTTGATGACCGCCAACCCAGCCTGCCGAACTCTGGTGTTCGCGGGCCACTGGGGGTCGCCTTCACGGTTTACCATACCCCGCCAACGGATGATCCGAATCGTCAGCATCAATATGCGGTAACCGGGTCATCCTACCAGGCCGTTTACGAGTTTCATCCGGACGGCGTGCGTGCTGCCAGTTATTTACACTACGGCCAGAGCCATGATCCGGACTCACCACACTTTTTTGATCAGGCAAAGCTGCTTTCAGAAAAGCGTTTCAAGCCAGCGTGGTTTGCATGGCCAGATGTGGTGAAACATACTCGAGTGGCTTATCACCCCGGAGAATGACAATCAAGGACGACAAGCACATCATATTCGGGGCCTGGGTATTTATGGAGCTATCAAATGAGCAACTTGCCATACGTTCTTACCACCGCTGACCGCGTTGAGATTCACGAACTTCCTGGACGGTATGGCGATGCGATTGACGACCGAAACTGGGCAAAGCTCGACGCTGTGTTCACCGAGGATGCCGTATTCGACCTGACCGGTGTCGGCTCACGGATATGCGAAGGGCTCGAGGACATTAAGTCGTTCATGGAAACCGAGGCTGCCCATCCGCGTACACACATGATGACCAACATCTATGCCGACTCAGATGAAGACGGCGTGACCATGCAGTTTCGTATTGTCGCCCTTATCGGCAAAGGGCAAACGGCAACTGCCAGTTATTACGACAAGATCGTCAAAACCGACGATGGATGGCGGACCCAACACCGTTACGTCTCAACTCGTCGTCGCGACAAGCGCGAGGCCGAAGTTGATCGCAAAGGTATTGCGCGCTAAATCGTGATCTAAAAACTACGGCGGCGTAAGACGATAAGCCCTGGCAGCTGTCCCGCTGAAAACATCACGCTTCTCCGCTTCTGACAAACCGAGTTCATTTGCGATCTTCTTGAACAGATTCCACAACGTTCGGTAAGAAATACAATCTTTGTCCACCGGAAAATTACTTTCAAACATGCATCGCTCGGGACCAAAAGCCTCAAGTGCATATTGATAGCGCGGTAACAGGGTCTGCATAAACTTGTCAGAACTCCAAGGCGCGGACGCCTGATGCATATGATAAGGCGGCTCCCAGTCATCAACGCGCATTTGTGCACCACCAAGCTTCATCACCGTATTTGAGCAGGCCGCAACCGCATCAATCGCAGCTTGCCATGCCTTCAACTCAGCATCATCAGCATTGGGATCAATCCTGCCACCCAGGTGATTGACGATGACTGTCACCGCCGGAAATCTGTTTGCAAGTTCGGCAAGTTTTGGTAACCGTGAAAAGTCTGGCGACCAGTTGTCGTAGCTGAGGTTGTATTTCTCAAGCTGGGCGAACCCTTTAAGAAAGTTGTCGTTCAGATCAGAAGGGAATGCGGTACGGACGCCGCGAAAATACTCACTGGCGTGCAAATGTGCCTCCAGCACTCGAGCCACATCGCTACCTGCACGAAGATCTGCAGTGCTGAAGATGCCGGTACACAATCGTGTTGGTCCATAGATCCCTGAACGACTCATGGCAGCAATACCATGAACAAATTCAGTTTCCCCAACACATCGCATCTCTTGCGGACCATCGCTGCGATAAAACGCGCCGCATTGAGCAAATACTGTCTGTACGATGTTATGGCCGCTGGCAGAAATGTCCCGACTGATTTCCTCACACAGATAGACCTCCTGCCGAAAACCCATACCGTTACGGTTACGCAGATCCCATAGGTGATGGTGCGGATCGATAATCGGCAAGTCAGGTTCAATGACGTCTTCCGGGATCTCTTGCGCGATCCAGTTTTCAATATCGGCGTTTTCGTCAATGCTCATAGGCCCCTCTCTTCTTCCAACTCTTGTGACAGTCTCTTTTCCTGGGCTATGAAGCCGATACCTGCTCCATCAGCGATGCCAGGGTCTCATAAGGCTGCGCGCCTACAACGCCGTAGCCACCGGCGACAAATGTGGGGACACCGGTCACGCCATACTGCCGTGATTTAGCCCAATCCGCATCTACCGCCATTTTGAAACTGCGGGTCTCAAGTACCTCCCGAGCCGCGTCGGCTGGCAGGCCCACATCGGCAGCGATATTAACAAGCACATCAGGCTCGCCGATATTGCGCCCGTCAACAAAGTACGCTTTATACAAAGCGTCGTGGACAGCATAGCCACCCGTTTGCGTATCCGCCCACTTGCCCAGCTCCTGCGCCAGGCGGCTGTTATAGGTGTGAGTACGCCGACCATAAGCCAGGCCCTCTTCATCCATCAAGGTTTTCATGCGCGTATACATGGCTTCGATGTCGATATCACGTCCGGCAAACAGTTCTTCTATGCTGATGCCACCCTCCGGGGTATCCGGGTGCAAAGGAAAATGCACCCAGGTCACGTTAACGTCAAAATTTGCTCTGAGTTTTTCAATACGCCCGGTACTGAGATAACACCAGGGTCATATGTAGTCGGTGAATATTTCCAGTTCGATAGGTGCCGCCATTGGTTATCCTGCTGTCTGTTTGAACTCAGGCTACACCAAATTGAATAAGGGCGCTAAATTTCAGGATGACGATCAAAACCTGGCAGGCTGCCGCCGCTTGAAATCGTCTGCCGTAATGGGTCGACCGCCAATCGCCGCAGTGTCCCAATCCTGTACGATTTTCCACTGGCCATAGATGTTCTTCAACACGATGTGGAATTGACCGTAAGCGTATGATGTTTCTCCCGCCGAGGACATTATCGCGATGCGATAGAAACCAGTGTCGTAAGAGACCGACGCGTTTGTGTGTCGAGTATCTAGCCAGAAATCCAGCGAAATACGATCACCTGCATCTCGATTTTTTCGAAATCGTTCTTTGTTTGCCTTCTTGAACAGGCCAGCTGTATCCAACCCATCCGGCGTCACACGCAACACCTCATCTGCGTACACCGAGTTAAGCGCCTCGCCGTCCAATGTTTCAAACGCATATTGAAAAGTTTTCCAGACAGTTTGATCAATCTCTTTCTGGATGCTGGTGACTTCAGTGTCAGCAAAGCACGGTGTCGCTATGAACAGTAAGAATGCGGCCAATAGATTGCGGACCATTGGGTGCCCCTTGTTTGAAATTATATTTTTCGCCATCAGGTTTTCAGTTTTTTGCCTATAGCGATGCGATAGAATACGGGCACAGCGATCAGTGTCAGCAATGTGGCGAATGCCAAACCACCCATAATACAAACCGCCATTTCCCGAAAGAAAGCATCTCTCAACAATGGCGACATACCGGCGATGGTTGTGCCTGCTGCAAGCATTACAGGCCGCAGACGACTGATACAGGCAGCGGCGATCGTCTCTAGCGACCAGTCATCTTCCAGCAGGCGTTTATCAATTTCATCAACAAGGACGATACAGTTTTTAATCAGCATCCCGGACAAGCTTAAAAATCCGAGAAAGGAGGGAAAAGTGAACGCAAGATCTGTTGCCAGCAAGCTCACAACAACGCCGCAGATGATCATCGGTACTGTAAGCCAAATGACTAACGGCTGTTTTATCTTGCCAAACATAAGCACGGTAACTATCAGCATTATCCCCAGGGCCATTGGAATTTTGCTGGTCAGCGTCGTCATAGCTTCCAGATTAGCTTCGTATTCACCCCCCCATTCCAACTGATAGCCCGGCGGCAGAAAGATGGCCTCAACTTCACCCCTGATGGCTTCAAAAACCCGGCTGGCATTACGCCCAACCGGCGGGTTGGCCTGGGCCGCAATTGTGCGGGTTCGCTCGCGCCTGAAAATCATGCTGTCTTCCGCATCCAGCTCAACACCGGTAATGACCTGAGACAAGGGCACATAGGCCTGTTGCACTGAACTCCAGATTTGTCGATCCTGCACAGCTCGCATGTCGCTCAACTCCGCGCGAGGGGCGCGCGCGACAATCGGTAACAACTTATCTTCATCGCGATAAGTCCCAATCCGTACGCCGGTAGTAGAGAACGCCGTGGCTGTGGCCAGATCGTTGCGGCTGATGCCAACCTGACGTGCGCGGCTTTCATCAAATCGGGGAGAGAGTGTCAGTTCACGCTGTCGCCAGTCTGTTTTTCGATCAATCAGATCGTGGGTGAGATAAACGTTTAAAGCCTGCTCAGCAAGAGCTCGCAGCACATGGGCATCAGGTCCTGAAAAACGCGCTTCAATTTTTGACGTGCCACTCGGCGTAAACTCAGTGCGTCTGACAGCCAACTCGGCGTCTACGCTTTCACTCTGCAGCAGTTCAGCCACACGTACTCTGGTCGTGTCAATGTTAGAGATATCTCTAACCCTTAACACCAGTTGTGCGTAGGCGGGGTTAGGCTGCTCAGGTCTTACAGTTGCAGAGAAACGGGTAGTACCGCGGCCAATAAAACCAGTCACCGCAACCACTTCAGGATCTGCTTGCAGCAATGGTTCAAGCCGTTCAACTTCTGCCGCGGTAGAACGAATATCCATGCCTTGCGGCAACCGCATGTCGACAAACAGAAGCGGGGAATTTGTGGTTGGGAAAAAGCCCTGTTTAACAAACCCAAACCCAGCCAGGCATGATACGGTTATTGCAATTAGAACCAGGGTGGCGAGCCAGGCATGGCGCAAACTAAATCCCAGCAAACGCCGATAAGGTGCGTAGCCCCAACCACTGTAAAGCGCGTTCTCGGAATGTGCTGTGTTGGCTTTCAGCAGGTAACTGCCAAGCAGTGGCCCAACAGTAACTGCCAGCACCCAGCTGAGCAGCAGCGAGATAGCCACAACCTGAAAAAGCGATCGAAGAAAATGTCCGGGATTATCGTCAGCGAGCCCAATAGGGCCGAATGCCGCAATGCCAATGACGGTAGCGCCCAGCAATGGAAAAGCGGTACGCTGCACCGATGCAGCAGCAGATTCCCTTGCTGACAAACCGCGCTGCACACCGGTGACCATACCTTCAGCCACCACAATAGCGTTATCCACAAGCATACCCATGGCGATCATCAGAGCTCCCAGAGAGATGCGCTGAAGCTCTATTCCGCCAAACGTCATGAGGGACACTGTACCCAGAACCGTTAGTAACAACACACTGCCAACAACAGTGCCAGCACGCCAACCCATAAATACACACAAGGCCGCGACCACTGTCAGAATGGAAAGACCCAGATTGATTTGAAACTCGGTGAGCGAATCTTCAACCACTGTGTGCTGGGCATAGATTGGTTCATAGGTTACACCGATAGGTAAAGTGTCTAGTATCTCGCGCATTCGCCGATCCACCGCCCTACCCACTTCCACTACGTTCTGATCATCTACAACAGAGACTCCGACGGTAAAGACCCGCTGACCCTGATGGCGGATAATCTCTGAAGGTTGCTCCACTGGACCGCGGCGGATTGTGGCAACTTCGCCCAGACGCACAAACTCGATGGAACCAGGGCGACCGATGCGCATTTCACCAATGGCCTGTTCGGTTTCAAACGCATTGGTATGGGCCAGTCGCAAGCGTCGATCTCCGTAGGCTACCGACGCTGCAGGCATCACCTGGTTTTCCTCGCCGATGCTGCGAAAGACTGCATCTGTCGGCAACCCCAGGCGCACCAGCTGTTCGTGATTAAGCTCTACAAACAACGCCTCTTCCGGTACGCCCGAAGTACTGACTTTGGCAACATGTTCTACGGTGTTCAGACCCGTTTCCAGCAGACGGGCAAAATCACTTATTTCATTTTCAAGATAGCCCGTTGCGAATACGGCATAGAGAATGCCGTAGACATCGCCAAAATCATCTTCGACGATGGGACCTTGAGTCCCGGGTGGCAGCCGCATAGCCGCTTCACTGACCCGTCGACGCAGCTCATCCCATATCTGCTGCACATCGTCGTCGTCGTAGCGCTCTTGAATCTCAACCTGAACTTCCGATCGACCCGGCAGCGACTTTGACGTAAGCCGCTTGATATAAGGCAACTCCTGCAAGGCAGCCTCTATTACGTCAGTGACTTCCTGCTCAGTTTCGGTCGCAGAAGCGCCTGGATAAACAGTAACTACATAAGCCTGCTTGAGTGGAAATTTAGGATCCTCAAGGCGTCCAACCTTGTCGATACCATAGAGGCCACCTGCTATACAGGCGATGATGAGGAGCCAGGGATACAGCGGATAGTCGATGGACAGCCGGGCGAGATTCAATGAAATGGCCGGGAAGTCAAAGTTGCGTCTCAGGTTCGCCGAGCGGACGAATTTTCATTCCTTCCTGGAGCTGACTGGCGCCTGCACCAACCACCAGCTCACCGACTTCGAGACCGTCGGCGATGCCTATTCCTCGCCCTCCGGGTTCTGCAAGGATAACCCTACGCCGGCTCACGCTCTGAGTATCGGGATCATATATCCATACAAAGAAATGACCATCAGGGGCACTGACAAGGGCAGTCGGGGGAATTGCGATCTGTAATTGAGTACTGTCTGCTTTAAGCGCAATTTGTACGAGCGCAGTCATGCCCGGTAGAAGATTGCTCTGGGGAGGCCTGTCCATGGTGAATGTCACCATAAACGTTTGCGCCACAGCGTTTGCTTCTCCAGTGTTTTCTCGATAGGTCAACGGAAATTTCTGTCCGGGCAGAAAATCGAATGTTGCGGTCATCGATATCACACGTTCAGGCGTAACCGTTGCCACCAACTCTTCCGAGAGACTAACAATAACTTTTAGTTCACTTAGATCTGAAAGACGAACAATTTTGTCGCCGTTTCTGACTTTTGTTCGATTGTCTACATATCTACGGGCCACAAAAGCATCGAAGGGTGCGAAAATTCTGCTCTTATCCAAACGTTCTTCCGCCTGCGCAAGCCGAACTTGGCTCAGATCATGGGTTGCTTGTGCATCATCTACAGCCGATTGAGATATACCGCGCTCTCGAAAGAGAGACTCCTTGCGATTTAAATCCTGGCTGGCTAAACGTAACTGAACCTGCGCCTCACGCACCGCCAGCTCAAAATCTGTAGGGTCTAACGCAGCAACCAAAGTACCTTTACTTACGGCCTGCCCCTCGCGCAGCGGAAGCCTGAGCAGAGCACCATCTACTTCAAAAGAAACATCCAGAGTTTGTGCGGCATCCAGCTTGCCAATAAACTGATGGTTGACGATATTTTGATGCCCGCTGATCTCAAACAGCTTTGCCGGGCGTACAGCTTGATCCACCACCGATGCTACATTTCGTTCACACCCAACAAGCCAGCAGACGATAAAAACACTGCCCCAAAATTTCACGCGGCATGCACCTTGGCAAGTTCGAGCAATTGTTTGTGCAGGCCATTGCGCTCTGCACGCGACAGAGGCAATAACTTCAGCATCTCCAGGAAGCGCAGACCTTCAACCGCCAACAGCAGAATCCAACCTATCTCCAGTGCTTCACTTCCATCTCCAGCTTCTTTGAAAGCTGTGCGAACTTCCTGCCGCGCTGGCGTAAGCATCTCGGGGTTTTCTGCCGCGGCAGCAAGGATTGCTCGAGACATCGCTTTTTGCTCAGGCGTCTGCTCGTGCTGTTCGATGATTCTGGCGATCAGTGCGACGTTTTTTTCGTCAGCGTTGGCATCTCGGTAAGTACGTGTGCGCGTTGTTATCTGTTCGACAAGGCACTCCAGCATGCCTTCAAGCAAAGCCTGTTTTGAAGGAAAGTGATACAACACCCCGCCTTTGGAAACCGCCGCCGCTGTCGCCACCGCGTCTATGGTTAGATGCGCTGCACCGGACCTTTCAACAATTCGAGCCGCCGCAGCTAATATAGCTGCACGCTTGTTTTTCGCGGCACTGCTTTTCTCCGCCATTCTCGCCTACATAGCTAAACCGTCCAGACGGTACAGTAACTGAGTTGCTCAAAAATACCAATCCTATGCTTCTTGCTGACCAGGCGGGCTTCGGCACGACGGTTCTCCTGCCGGCGTCTGTGCGCTAGCGGTCTGTGCGAATAGACAATTGATACTGACGGGACCAGAATTGGACCCTCAATAATTTCAGGTGCTAAACATGCCCCTATCGCGAAAACTGGCTCTTGACGACACGCAGATAGAAGAGATCATGACCACTTGCTGGAACTGTAGAATCGCCACCATCGGTCCAGCGAACCGTATCAACCTCACCCCTATGTGGTTTGGTTGGGCAGGCGGCAAAATATACATCTACGGTCGAGGCCAGAAAGTAGCCAACCTGCGCCGCGATCCAACCTGCACAATCATCGTCGACCGCAATGAAAAATTTCCAGAGCTACAGGCGGTCATGCTGCAGGGTCAGGCCCAAGTGCTTGAAGACGCGGATGCCGAAAATGCCGACTCCCACCTTGCCGAAGCACGCATACAGATGGGACGTAAATACAACGGCGGCCATGGCCAACCTGCAGTGCAGGATCCTCCTCCTAACAACGCATCCGCGCGTGGTGCAAATGGCCGTTGGATGGTCTTCAGCCCGGACGTTCAGATAACCTGGGACAACTTTAAACTGGCGAGCTTGGGCCGATAGCACCATATCGAAACAGGGCAAAGCGGATTAAGTAGCAGCGGGAATCACAATGGCCTCACCACTTGCCAACCCGCTTCTTACCTCTACCTGGTCAGCTTCTGTTTTCCCCAGCCGCACAAATCTACGCTGGTCAGACCCGGTGCCCCGCACATAGACAAAGGTGAGCTGCCCTGCCCGCTGCACAGCGCTGGCTGGAATCCATATGTTTTCCTGTTCTGCGACGGGAATTGACAATCTGGCGAACATGCCCGGAAACATACCGGTTGCATTGGAGAGTCTGGCTTTCAATACAAACGTCCGCGATGTCGGGTCTGATGACGGCACAATCTCTTCAACTACGGCGACCAGTTTATCCCCCATAGCATCAACGTAAGCTTCAAGCTCTGTGCCCAATTGCACATAACCAATCAAAGACTCTCTGAGCGTCGCTTCTATACGCATCTGTCCGGGATTAAAAATTTTAAGCAGCGGTTGTCCCGGCGAGGCCATATCGCCCGCTTCAGCAAAATGTTCTACCACCGTACCGCTCATAGGGGCACGTATGACGGCATAGTTCATTGCCGCTTTCGCTTCTGCCACCGCTCGCTGGGCGGCCTCTTCGAAAGCAGCAGCACGACGGGTTGCCGTCACCGCCTGATCCAACGCAGCGATGGACACATTGCCCTGAGCCCGCAGCGATTCAGTTCGAGTCTGATAGAGCTGTGCTTCCTCGAGCGCGGCTTTCGCAGCTGCAGCTTCCTGCACACGCTGTTCAAGCACCGCAAGCAATGCCTCATTATCTAACTCAATCAGCACATCATCTACACTGACCGAATCACCAGCTCTGACATTGACACGAAGAATAGTGGCCATGATTCGCGAAGCTAAAATGGTGTCGCTGGTGGCCTGTATCGTGCCGGCGACCTGTTCTATCGCAGGCTTCATATCTGCCACAGCGGTAACAACAGATCCCGGTATTTGTATGATCTTTACTTCTGTAGATTGCGGAATTTTTGCATGAAACACGCCAGCAAAATAAGCTAACAGCAAGCCCAACGCCACGATAGACAAGACAAAGAAACCGTATTTGACGTATATCTTCACGTGTTCTCTCCATAAACAAGCTGGTAAACCACCGGTACGATAAACAGGGTGAAGGCGGTTGACGCAAGAACCCCGAAGATAACCGCCCAGGCGAGGCCGCTGAATATGGGGTCCAGTGTAATTACGAGATTACCCAGCATGGTTGTACCCGCTGTCAGTAAAACAGGTCGCGCGCGGGCTAACCCTGAATTAACCAATGCCTGCGTCAGCGGCGCCCCGCGAGCCAGATCCTGTTGCACAAACTCCACCAGCATCAGCGAATTGCGCACCACGATACCGGCAAGCGCAATCATGCCGATCATCGCTGTTGCGGTGAAAAGTACAGGATCGGCATATTCTCCAACTTGACCACTTGCCACCATATTCAGAAACCAGAAACCCGGCATGATGCCTACGGCTGTCAGGGGTATGGACAACATGATGATCCCTGTCAACGCAGACAGACTGGTTTGCAGGCGTACAACAACAAAAATACCAAGAATCGCCACAGCAAATGCGATGCCTAAATCACGAAAGACGCGCAAAGTAATATCCCACTCCCCTTCACCTGCCCAGGTCAGGTTTACACCTGCAGGCAAATGCCAGGCCAGCCCGCCGCCTGGTGAAAAATAAGTTCGCTGTTTCACGTCACGCGGTAGTGTTGTCGAGCCAGCGTGCAAATCCCGATCCGCATCTATGTCATAAATAATGGCAGCCGGTACCCGCCCGGCCACCTCGGCAAAGGTATACGTCACTCGCTGCAGATCTTTGTGATAAACCGGCTGATCTCGTGCCAGGGTCTGCATGGATCCCAGCTCACCCAGAGCCACCATGGGCGTGGGTGCATTAGTGACGCCGCCACGACCGCGAACTTTTGCGATTCCTGGCAGACCTTCCACCTGCAAAGAGGCAATCTCGCTGCGCCGCGCATAAGGCACGCCTACAACAACAGGTAAAGGGTTCACCTCATCTTCTACTCCAGCGTAGGTGACCGTGCGCCCATCTATCGCCACGCTTAACGCAGTGGCGATGGTTTGCGAGCTGATACCCGACAGTCCGGCTTTCTCCTGATCAGGCACAAATACATGCCGCAGAGACGGCTCAGCAGCACTGACATCAACATCCACAACGCCAGGTTCCTGACGGAGCCTCGCCGCAGTAAAAAGAGATGCATCAATCAACGTCTGGTAATCCGTCGTCGGGGTGCCGTAGTGTTCAGCAACAAGCGTGGCCACAACAGGCGGACCCGGCGGCACTTCGACCAGCTTTACAACAACGCCATGCGCTTGTGCGATTAACGCCAGTTCTGGTCTTAGACGCAGAGCAAGCGCATGGGATTGATCTGACCGGGCCAGCTTATCCGCCAGGGTCACCCGCAATTCCGCCTCATTAGGGCGTCCGCGCAGGTAGTAGTGTCGCACCAGCCCGTTGAAGTCCATGGGTGAGTGTGAACCACTGAAAGTGCTGACCGTACGAACTTCGGGTACGTTCTGCAGATACGTCGCAATGTTCGCAACGACGGCTTCTGTGTTTTCAACAGACATCGATTCTGGTGCATCAACGACAATCTGAAATTCGTTTTTATTGTCGTAAGGTAATAATTTTAGCGGTACCAGACGCAACAGCGGCAATGACAATGCGAGTACAAACAGCAGAGCGGTAACACCGAGAAATATCCAGGATTTCCGACGACTGCCCAGCATGGGTCGCAGCAGGCGCTCGTATACACCGTAAAGACCATCACGACTGATGGGTTGTCCTCCGGGTTTAGGTTTAAGCAACAAACTACCCAGCCAGGGTGTAACAAGGAAAGCCACAACGGTGCTCATTACCACCGCAATTGGCACATTAAAAGCCATAGGCGACATATAGGGGCCCATCATCCCGGTGATGAAAGACATAGGCGCAAAGGCAATGATTACAGCAAGCGTAGACATGAGCAGGGGCATGCGTATCTCGCTCATGGCGTTAACAATATCGGAACCCGACGAAGTAGTACGCCCAAGATGGCGCTCGATGTTATCTACACCGGTGATCGGATCATCAACCAGCAATCCCAATGCCAGAATCAGCGCAAACAACGTCACTCGATTAATGGTGTAGCCGGCAAAATAGCCTAACGTGAGCGTCAAGCCGTAACAGATGGGTACTGCAAGCGCGACCACTAAAGCCGCCCGCCAGCCGAGAATAAAACCAATCAACACCACAACCGTTGCCACCGCCACGCCAAGACTGGAAACCAGATCTCCAATCTTCTGATCCGCGGTGGCACCATAATCGCGGGTGGTTTCGAAATGCACCCCAGCCGGAAACAGTTCACGTGCAGCTTTATTTAAATGTTCACCCAGATCCTGCGCCACTTTGACCGCATTGCTGCCTTTTTTCTTGGCTATCGCAATATGCACAGCAGGATACTGCTGCGCCCCGTGCTGGGCATGAGCAGGTCCGAAGCCAATCCAATGATAGCTGGTTGGCGCCGGTGGCCCGTCAATCACATCAGCCACATCTTCCAGGGGCACAGGCACACCATCGAGGACATTCACCGTCAGCTGGGCCAGCGTGTTTATGTCCCGGATACGCGCATCGGTTTCAACAATTATTTCCTCATTAGCCAATTGCAGGTTACCGGCAGGACTTCGAATGTTTGAAGCCGACAGCGCAAACAGAATGTCCGCAATATCTGTCTGGCGGGCAACCATAGCGGTAGGGTCCAGGTCGACACGAAACTCTCTGGTACGCCCGCCTATCACCTCAATGCGGTTCGTATCGGTTACTGCCTGCAGGGAAATGGCCAATTCATCAGCCAGCCGGCGCAACTCATAATCATCAATTGCCGGGGTATCACTCCACAACGTCGCAATGACAATGGGTACGTCATCAATCTCAACGGGTTTAATCACCCAACTGGCGACAGCCTGGGGAATGAGGTCCTGATTGGAAAATATTTTGTTATATAACTTTACCAGCGAATCTTCGCGATCTTCACCGACATAAAACCGAGTGGTGACCACCGCTCCACCATCTTCGGAGGTGGAATAGACATGCTCTACTCCATCGATCTGGGTGAGAATCTTTTCCAGCGGCGTTGTGACAAGGCGCTCCACCTGGCGGGCGCTGAGTGTTGGTGCCGAAATGATAATGTCAGACATCGGCACCACGATTTGCGGCTCTTCCTCTCGTGGTGTTTGCAGCAACGCAAAAGTACCCATGCCCAAAGCGGTAATCAAAACCAGCACAGGAAGGCCGCCACTCAAACTGGCGGAGACAATACGGGGAATCAATCCTACTTTTTCAGCCATACCTGAGCAGATCTATTTAGAAAACAGACGCTACCACAGGACGTCTACACCTGAGAGTAAGGACATTCCACAGGCGGCCACTGCAAAACCGTGAAGTCAGGTGATACGCAGCGTCGATTCTATGCCTATCCAGCCAACATTGGCTAACCTCTGGATTAACCCAGGCGTTTTGAAAACCGTAATGTTGCTGCAATTAAGCCAACGGCAAAAAACAAGGCCAACGGCCATATCTCACCCACCATCTGCACAAGCGATGCGTCACGCAGAACGATCCCGCGTACAATGCGGAGGAAATGGGTGAGGGGAAATATTTCTGACAGTATCTGCGCTGCCCTTGGCATGCCTTCAAAAGGAAACATAAAACCTGACAAAAGTAGCTGGGGTAGAAATGTGACAAACGTCATCTGGAAGGCCTGGAATTGACTGGTTGCCAAAGTAGAAATAAACAACCCAAGGGTCAGCACACTGAGCACAAAAATACCTACACCGAGATAGAAGTCAGTCAACGATCCGCGTATCGGTACGTCGAATAAAGTTGCCCCTAAAAAGAGTATTAGAGTCACCTGGATAAAGCCAATGAGAATATACGGTGCGATCTTACCAACCATCAATTCAAGCGAGCGAACGGGCGTTGCAATCAACAGTTCCAGATTGCCGCGCTCCCGCTCGCGCACAATGGCAATCGAAGTAAACAACACCATTGTCAGCGTTAATATCACACCACACAAACCAGGGACGATGAACATTGCAGAACGACGTTCAGGGTTGTACAACGCGCGTATTTCGAATGTCTGATGTTCATCAAGCTGATTGGGAACAGCCATCGGCAAGTTAGCTATACCGCGCGCAGCGGCCAATAAAGTTGGGTCACTGTCATTGATCAGTAATTGCGCAAAGGGTTTAGCATTACGCGCACGACGCCGTTCGAAGTCTGCCGGGATATATATCCCAACGGCTATTTTGCCTTTGACCATTTCCTGCTGCATTTCCCAGGGCGAACTCATGGGAATTAAAGTGTCGATGACCTGACTGGCGCGCGCCTGATTAATCAGCGCACGTGAAGCTGAAGTGTTGGCTTCGTCTACAACCGCAGCGGTAAGGTTGCGTACGTCGTTGTTGATGGCGTATCCAAAAAGCAATGTCATGACAATGGGTATGCCTGCTATCAAGCCACCAGTAAGACGGTCACGTCGTAAGTGATTCAGTTCTTTGGTCGCAATCGCCCATATTCGCCGCAGCGCAATCATGCTGCTGTATCTACAGGGTCTTCGCGGGTCGCCATGACAAAGACATCCTCCAGACTCGCACGGATGAGTTTGAGCTGGGCCGGCAATTCAGCCTGGACAAGCATCTGTTGCAGATAATCTACCGGGTCTTTGATTGTCAGCTCAACTAACGCATGGAGCCTGGCACCTAGTTGCGCCACGTCAATGACGTTAGTGTCGGCCAACAGGGTTTGCCGCACGGTGCGGGCATTATTCGCCTCTATTTCTACGACGTGCGCGGACAGATTATCCATCATGTCGCTAGGCCCGCCTTCCGCGACCAGCGCACCTTCATTCAGAATAGCCAGGGCATGACAGCGCTCAGCTTCGTCCATGAAATGAGTGGTCACCAGTACGGTTGTGCCGGTGTCGACCATATCAAACAGAAACTCCCAGAACTCACGCCTGCTTTCCGGATCAACGGCACTTGTTGGTTCATCCAAAAACAGCAGTTCCGGCTCATGCAGGGTAGCGCCCGCGAGCGCGAGTCTCTGGCGTTGGCCGCCACTCAAAGTGCCGGCCATCTGACGCGAGATGCTCTGCAGAGAGAAATTCTCCAATTGCGCCTGGATACGCAACTTACGCTGTGCCTTGTTAAGTCCGTAGATCTGCGCCAGAAAATTCAGGTTTTCACCAACTGTAAGGTCGCCATACAGAGAAAACTTCTGGGTCATGTAGCCAATGCGTCGTTTTATGGCTTCAGCATCTTTCATGACGTCCATACCGAGGACCTGTGCTGTACCGGCATTAGGTGCTAACAAACCACACAACATACGTATGAGCGTTGACTTCCCGCAACCATTTGGACCTAAGAACCCATAGATACTGCCTTTGCCAACATTCAGAGACACATCGTTTACTGCAGTCAGATCCCCAAATTTACGCGTTAATCCCTGGGTGACAATAACGGTATCAGTCATCTGCCAGGCCGCGGAACGTGACTTCAACCGGTATGCCTACTGGCAGGTTATCGGCAGGTTCCACGACGTCAATTTCGGCAACGTAGCTCAGGCGTGACCGGTCGTGCTGGTTCAGCGAGAAATAGGGTGTGAAGGCTGCACGGCTGGATACCCAACGTAATTTGCCCGTGAGCGGGTCCGGGTGTCCATCCAGTAGGATGGAGGCTTCGTGCCCCGGCTGAAGGACAGCACGCAGAGGCTCGGAAATATGCACACGTGCATAGGTAGGCCCTTCGGCAAGCATGATTAATACGGTGGCACCGGATGGAGGGCGTTCACCAATTTCGAAAGGCAGAGATTCAATTGTGCCGCTAACAGGAGCAATGATGTCCGCTCGGGCGAGCGTTATTTCCAGATTCTGCAGATTAGCCAGCGCCGCGGCATGGTGCGCGCGTGCCTGGTCGATTTCTTCAGAACGGGTGCCTTCCAGCAATTCGTCCAGCACGGCTTGTGCTTCAGCCTGGCGCGCAACGGCTTCGTTATATTTACCTTCGGTGATATCAATGGTTGCTTTTGAGATCAGCTGTCGATCTAACAGCGCAAGTTCGCGATCAAGTTCTGCGCGCAGAGTTGCAGTGGCACTTTCAGTAGCCGTCAATCGAGACCGCGCCTGAGTGATCTGTTGTTGTCGTGGGCCTTTCTCAGCCTCAGCCAGAGTTGAGCGCGCAACCGCAACTTCAGCCTGCGCTCGCTTCAGGGCCACTTGTGCACGAGCAGCATCCTGAGTAAGCAAAATTTCACCAGCCTCGACGCCCTGACCTTCAACAACAAATATTCTCAGTATAGGTTCATTGGATTCAGCAATAAGTTCAATACGATCCCGCTCCAGCGTACCCAGAGAAGCAACCTGGTCAGATGCGTTGCCACAACCGGAAAAGACGCTGATACCGCACGCAATAATCATCCCCAACAGACCTCTTGTGTTGGATGTATATCGCAAAGGGTTAGCCTAATGTCCTGGCTGAAAGATTGTCTGTCATTTCGCGACACCGGCTCATTCAGAATGGGCATCATACCTGAACATTGCTGCGGGCACATAGGCTGCCACCACTGAAAGTGGTTATCAAATGCAGCTGGCAGAGCCGAAGCGCTGACAGCGCTTCATTCTAAAATTTACTGCCCACGCAACAGGGACGCGGGTTGCAGATGCAGCCGACGCATCAGGTAACCGGCACCTGCATAGAGACACACAGAGCTGACGCCAAAGGCAGCAACTACCGCCGGCCATACAGGAAACGCAAGGGGTAATCGCAGCTGAAAATGCAACATCGGCAACGCAATCAATATGCCGAGTACCAGGGCAAAAAGAGAAGTTACTAACGCTAACAGCACATACTCCATGCCAAGGCTCAGGCGCACAACGCTGAGACGTGCGCCAAGTGTGTGAAGAATGGTGGAGTAATAAACCTGCCGCGAGCGGTGGCTCGCCATAACACCCGTCAGCACCAGCAGACTCACAGAAAACGCAACAGCTGAAACCACAACCAGCCCCGCCACCGCGTTGCCTAGCAGATTTTTGGCGGTGGCGACCAGGGTGGCGGTTCGTACCGACACAACATTGGGTGCTATCCCTGCAATTTGAGTTTGCGCGACAATGGCTTTGTCCGCGGGCATATAACTGGCGCCCACGTAGCGGGAGATGAACGGGTCCAGCACGCCATCAGACAGAATGGCTTCAAACCAGAAGCGCGTCTGCAGGCCTTTCTGCCGAAATATACCAGTTAGTTCAGCCTCCAATTGTCTGCCCTGAATGTCGAAGGTCAGCAGATCTCCAACCTGCAAACCAATCTGGTTGGCTTCGCGATCTTCCATCACCACCCAGGCACCCTCACCCGACGCGCCTTCCGGCCACCAACTACCCTGCACCATAGTGACCCCATCAATGTTGCCAGCGCGATAGGTCAGTTTATGTTCGTCTCGCGCCTCGCGCTGAGCTTCGAGGCTGCTTTCTGAGTCTGGCGTAGCGCCATTAACCGCCGCAAGTCGCCCTTGAACCAACGGCGCCATATCCACTCGTACCGCATTCTGTTCCTGCAGAATCGCACTCACCTCTTGTCGTTGGTGTGGTGCAACGTCGTACATCACGAGATCCGGAGATTCTTCCGGGATGGTGCTGGCGATTGTTTCCAGAAGCGTTGAAATCAATACTGTGCACGCTACTAACAGGGTCAGCGCCGAGCCCAGAGTCAGCAGAGAGGCACGCAGTGCAGAGCCGTGGCGGTGCAGGTTGGCAAGCGCCAGATGCAGCGCAAAATAGCGCCGCGTCGGTGCCTGGCCATCCATTCTGAGTGCTATTCGCCTGATCAGGCGCACAACGCCTTCGAGCATGACAAGCAATCCCAGCACGGTTGCGACAAAAGACAGGGCAAAGATCGGATCAGGCAACACAAACAATACAAGCAGGACAACTAAAGCAGCGCCACACAGTGTTGCCAGCCACCAGGCTCGAGGTGTACCCGTTTCAACACCATCAAGGCTTCGAAAAAGCACGGCAGGATCTACCGACAACGCACGACCGATGGCAGGCGCTGCAAACGTCATAGCGGTCAGCAAACCAAACAGAGCCGCAAGCAAACCGGGTAGAATTGCACTGTACACCACGGTGTCGATCTGAACCTGGGTGGCGGCGAACAAAGCCCCCACAAATGACAGCAGAAAACCCAGCACGGCGCCGACAAAACAGGAAAGACCACTCATTATCAGGATCTGCAGCAGGTAAACAACCGCAAGAGAGCGGTCTCTTAGACCTACTGAGCGCAGCGTAGCAATTGTACCGAGCTTATTCTGCAGGTAAGCCTGCACGCTATTGAAGACACCCAGCCCACCGATAAACAGCGTGCTGAAACCGACAATCAACAAAGCTGATCCCGCTTGAGCTAACCGTTCTCCTATGCGGTCGCTACGATCCATAAAGGTGCTGACTTCCCAATTGGTATCGGGAAACATCGCAAAAAAAGCTCTCTGCCACTCGCCTGGATCCTGCTCAGTTCGCACGCGATATTCATATTCCACACGACTGCCGGGCTGCAACAAGCCTGCATCAGCAAGCGCATCTGCAGAGATCATAACCGGGCTGCTACGCCAGCTTGCACTGAGGCTGCGATCCGGCTGTTCGGTGATCAACGCACGTACTTCAAATGACAATTCACCAATCTCAACCTCATCACCCGCGCTGATGCCCAGGCGATCAGCAAGTACCGGATCCATGGCGAGACCAAACTGGCCACCGTTGTTCTGCGTCACTTCCACCAGAGGTAAAGAAGGATTAAGAGTTAACTCGCCATACAGCGGATAATGTTCGTCAACACTCAGCACCTCCACCAGCTGAAGGTCACCGGAGGCGGTGGCCATCATGGTGTCCATTTCAACAAGCAGCGACACCTGTCCCCGCGCCGCCATCCAGTTGATGGCTTCAATTGGCAGACGAGAGCGTGATTCCACCTGCAGATCCCCTCCGCTCAACTTCCGACTATCGGTCTGCAGCCCCTCTCTGATCTGCTGATAAAGACCACCGGTTGCGGCGACCAGGGTGACACCGAGCACCAGGCAGGCACACAGAATCCACAGCGACTGACCACTGCCGCGCAGGTCCTGCCAGGCAAACTTAAGCAGAAAACGCATGTTTCTGCCCCTCTACCAGAGCGCCGCCGTCCAGACGTAACTGTCGATCACAACGCATTGCCAGAGACTCATCATGAGTAACCAGGACCAGGGTGCTACCTGAGTTCGCATGCAGCTCGAACAGCAGATCGCTGATGGCACTGCCCGTGTCTTTATCCAGGTTACCCGTGGGTTCATCAGCCAGCAGCAGTGGCGGCGAGTGCACCAGCGCTCTGGCAATGGCAACACGCTGCTGTTCGCCGCCGGAAAGCTGCATCGGATAATGGGATTCGCGATGATCAAGACCTACACGCCGCAGTGTCTCTCTGGCCTTCGCGCTGCCATCCGGGTCTCCCGCAATCTCCAACGGCAGAGTGACATTACCGAGAGCGGTCAGGCTCGGAATCAGATGAAAGGACTGAAAGACGATGCCCATCCGATCTCTGCGCAGATCCGCCAGTTCGTCAGCAGACAGCGCGTCCAGTTGCGTGCCCTGAATCTCAATGCTGCCTGAGGCAGGATGATCAAGTCCGGCCAACAGCAACAGAAGTGTTGTTTTGCCTGAACCCGACGGACCGATGATCGCCACGCTCTCGCCAGCCTTTATCTCGAGACTGACGCCTTTCAGGACTGATACCCGGGATTGCTCAACCGCGTAGCTCATACTTACATCTTTCAGTTTGATCATCTTCTTTCCAATATCTCCATACAACAAACTACATGGACCGCATCAAGCCCGCCATTAAGGACCTAACCGAATCATCAGCCGCACCAACTGCCGGCCCGACCGATTGACGCAATCGCGGCTACGACGACACAGACTAACCGAGGCCGTCTAAGGCTTTGATGAACGCCTCGATAGAGTACGGTTTGCGAATCAAGGGTTCTTGCAGGGCACTCTCTGTCTGCTCAGGGACATAACCCGAGACGAACAGGATACGCACATCGTCCGAAAGCTCCCGGACAGCTGCTGCAACCTCCTGACCGCTCATCTGAGGCATAACAAGATCAAGCACAAGCAGACGGATTTCATCCTGCCGCGCTTTGTAAAGATCCAACGCCTGCTTGCCGTCTGACGCCGCGCAGGTCTCATACCCTACTTTCTCCAGAATCTTGCACGCGAGGTCTAACAGCTGAGTGTTATCGTCAGCAACAAGAACCAGCCCACCGCGGGTACTCGCTTCGCGCGTCATCGTGGGCGCAGTCGACTCACCGGCTGCTCCAGACTCACCCAGCTCATTTGTAGAGAGCGGCAAATAAACGGAAAAGCAGCTGCCTTCGCCAAGTGTCGAGTCAACGGTTATGGTGCCGTTGTGGGCTTCAACAATACTGTAACAGTTTGCCAGGCCCAGCCCCGTACCCGTGGCAATTTCCTTGGTTGTGAAGAATGGGTCGAAAATACGGGGCAATACCTGTGCTTCAATGCCTTGACCATTGTCCTCAACTGTTATCAGGACGTAGTCGCCAACAACCGGTTGAGTGTCGAGCCCCAACCCAACATGATCAACCGTTTGCCGAGCTGCTTTTATCTGGATACGTCCCTTCGACTCCATGGCATCACGTGCGTTGAAGCACAAGTTGAGCATAACCTGTTCGAGCTGCGAGCGGTCGCCGAACACAGACAGCTGTGAATCTGCAGGTATCACGGTGAGATCCACAGATGCCGGGAGAGTGTGGTCGAGCAGAGCCTGCAACTCTTGTAAAAACTCGTTGATGTCGAACACCTCGGGACGTGCCACATCCTGGCGACTGAGCGTCGCGAGTTTCTTGGTCAGATTCATGGCTCGTGTACCGACATCACGTACGTTCTCCAGCGCGATTCGCGTCTCGGCATCGTGTTTGTCGCTGAGCAACAGGAATTCCATATTACCAAGGATAACCTGCAGCAAATTGTTGAAGTCATGTGTAATCCCCCCGGCTAACTCCCCCATTGCGCGCATTTTCTGCGAGTGTGCAACACGCTCTTCAAGACGCTTGATGTCGGTGACATCGCGGCCAACGGCTGTTATGCCTACCAGCTCGCCCTGGTCGTCGAGTACCGCACGATTCGACCACGCCAGCCAGCGCCAGCCGTCTTTTGTCATGGCGCGCTGTTCGTGATACGTCGTGTGCGGTGGATCGCTCAAGCGCTGCAGCGACCGTTCCGTTCGTTCACGATCATCTTCATGCACAAGGGGCAGGAAGGTCTTACCAAGCAATTCGGCCTCGCTTTTCCCGAACAAGTCACAATAACTCGGACTGATGTACTGAAATTCTCCCTCCGTGTTGACCTTAACCACAAGATCGGTCTGGTTCTCTACGAGCAAACGATACTCATCCTCACGTGCCTCAATATCGCGCTGTTTTACCAATGCATAGCGTAGTGCCAGCGTGAGTAGTGTTGTCAGCAAGACCCCCAAACCAATCCAGATCTCGTCGAGGAAGTCGTCGGTCGCCGCCAGGTAACTTGTCAGCGGGGCAATTGTGAAGCGCCAGGGACTGTCAGCGACATTTATTGGCAGGTTGATCTGGTAAGGGCTGATCGCCGCCACAAGTGGATCGGCTTGTTCGTAAAATACTGAGCCGCCATCGATAAGGTCAAAAGCGAAATTCTTTCGCAGCCGTCCCTCCGGCAGACACGAGGTCATCAGCGCTTCAACGCGGAACACGCCATTGACATAACCCAATGGCTGTCCAGCAACTCCAAGCATTGGCTGGTACAGCGCAAAGCCCTTACCACCCTGTAACAGCTCAATGATGTCCGTGCGCGCCACGCCACCATTTGCTCCCGCACGCTCAAGCGCGCCCAGAACCGACGCATTAGGATTCGACTTCAGGTTGGCGTCAAGCGCAGCGCGATTGGGTTCTATGGGGTAGATGACTCGGATGACGCCTTCCGTATCGACAAAATTGAGTGCCTGAACGCCTGTATACAACGGCAACAATGCACTGGCACGCTCAGGCCAGTCCGAGATAATCTGCTCGTTTGATTGCCATGGGTAACTGGCCAGTGTGCCCACCAGAGCGGCACGCGCATCGAAGCATGATTCTATACGGAGCTTGAGCTGCTCGGCGGTGATGCGGGTTTCGAGACCAATACGTTCGGCGTTGTTACGTTTACCAGCAAACCCCAGCCACATCACAAGCAGCAAGCCGAGGAGCAAAAATCCCAAAGGCACCCAATTGTGACGGAGTTTCAGTTTGCTCAATAGTAGGTCTGACTCGCTGATTTATCTTTCGAGTATTCGTTGACTGTAGAATTTGCTAATCCAAGTACCAGCCCCGCTGGCGGCAAACCCCTGATCAGTCTAGCAACCTATGCTATCTAAGCAACAACGGCCCCTAAAAAGCGGCCTTGATACAGTTCACTCAAATTCAGGAAGACTTGTCGCTTATCGAACTCACCCAAACAGGAGAAGACCAGGCACTTTCCTGAATCATCAAGCCATTATCCGGACAGCGGTGAGTCGTCGGCTCAACCGCCAATCCGTCCGAGCAGGCAACATCAAATATCTGCTCGCAGGGTGCGCCGTCCTCAAGCCAGCCCTTGATGATCTGCACACGTTGCAACGGTGCCGATTGTGCATCCCGGGCTGCCCAGACGATAAACGCAGGGGCATCGCCGGACCTTGCCATCAGGTCTCCACCCATCGACACACCCTGGGTATAAGCACGAGACATACCATCCGTTGTATCGAGCATGGCAGGGTCGAGATCATACCCGGCAAAAAAACGCACCCGTATCCGCGGGCCGCACGCACCATAAACCGAAGTGTTACGGTGAATATAGCGCCTGCCATCCGACGCGACATAGAACGCTGAGTCATCAGCATCCGTCAGCTGGAGAGTCTGCAGATGCTCATCGGAGATGGGGGTCGATCTCGAAGCCGGCCCACTCATCGTTCAACGACAAAGCCGGGTGTGTTTCCGAGGTGCCTTTGACCTGGGTGATTTCCACCAGCGGTTCATTGCGCATGCGCTGTTCGTTGTGCGCCAGGGTCATCGGGTCACCTGCCCAGTTTGCCAGTTCGAACATCTGCCCATTGGATTTGTTGGAGTTGTGCGGGATCGCCAGACTCTCAACGCCCTTGCCTCTCAAGTTGTCCATCCAGTTCCATAAATCCGCTGGATCAAGTGACATGAGCCGACTGAACCCGCCGATAAACGTGCGAACATTTTGCGCAGGTATGCTTTCCAGTGTCAGGTTCTCCGGCGCATTAGGATTGTGGATCGATTTCATCGCCGGATAGTTGGAGATTTCAGTTGTGGTGTCAGCCCCTGCCCGAACCACGCCAAGATAAAACCCGTGATCGGTTACCGCCTAAATCCAGTGGCCGGTCGAGCTGCATATCAAAGCCACCCGGGTGTCTGATAGCCTCGCCCTGGGAGTAGCGATAGGCATCATCGGGGGTCGCCAAAGTAGGCATAACGTTCAAGCCCCGGCAAAGATACTTCAGTGGAACCGCGCCCCGTCGGCTCTGTGGATTCGGATGCCACTTCGCTGCCGGCAGCGCTTTCGCAAATTTTACCCCGCTCCCAATTATTCCCGTAAACTGTCGCTTTACTTACATAGAGAGATTCATAGTGGAATTTGATGATGTCCTCCTCGGCCGCCGCAGTATTCGAGGTTATAAACCCGACCCGGTGCCAAAAGCACTGATTAAAGAAGTTTTAGCACTGGCCATGCGTTCGCCGTCATCGATGAACACACAACCGTGGAATTTCACCGTCGTCTCCGGCGAACCTTTAAACCGCATTCGCGCCGGTAACACGGAACGGAATCTCGCAGGTGTGCCACATTCGCGTGAATTTCGCATCGGACAGGCTTTTGCAGGACAACATCGCGACCGTCAGGTTGGCGTTGCCAAACAGTTGTTCGCTGCCATGGGTATTGAGCGTGAAGACAAAGAAGGTCGCCAGGACTGGGTGCTGCGCGGTTTCCGCCAGTTTGATGCACCTGTTTGTGTGATTATTACTTATGACCGCGTGCTGGCAGACAGCGATGACACGGCTTTTGATTGTGGCGCAGTAACAACAGCGCTGGTAAACGCGGCCTGGTCACGTGGCCTGGGTGCGGTGATCAACAGCCAGGGCATTATGCAATCGCCGGTGGTGCGCGAGCATGCAAATATCGCGGAAGATCAGGTGATCATGAAGGCTGTTGCGCTGGGCTGGCCGGATGAAGATTTTCCGGCCAACGCGGTAGTCTCAGAACGCAAGAGTGTTGATGAAGCTGCACGCTTTTTAGGCTTTGACGACTGAGCAGCAACTTGTTACCCAAACGTTGTTTCTAAAGCAGATAAGGGGCGTGAATCGCCCCTCACTGATTGATTCAGAGAAAATGGTCGGGCGTGGAACAGTGAGTATCGACACCCTCGATCAGCCCACTTGTAATGGTTGCGTTTGTGTCGCTTCACCTTCGGCAAACTGCAGCAGCTGCCAACAGTCACAAGACTCAAGGAACGGCTTCAGCAGCGCCTGATGTTCATCGCTGAGGTCTGCAAACGCCTGTTTCACCTGTAACAGACACTTCACCCGGTAGCCGGGGCCATTCAACGCCTTGGAAATGTCGGTCCCTTTGACCTGTTCCTTCATGGCGTTCGCAAACATGAAGTACATAGGCGCCATACTCACAATCAGACCTCGCAAGTTGTCGGTCAGGCAATCCTGCGCATCTGCCCATTCACCTTCATCTATACCTGACAGGTCATCAATAAAGTGTGTCCACTGGTATGTTCGAACAGCGCGTTCGCGCAATATGGTCGATACCGTCGGATCAACAGCATATTGGGTCAACTGGCCATACAATCCAAACTCCGCCAACGACGGACGCGTGCCAAACAGGAAAAACTTTGCAGCAAGCTGCTGTTCCATCGCATCAAGAAATCGATGGTAGTTTTCAAGCACAGTTGCCCTAGGCATTGCCTTCAAAGCACCCAGCTGTGATTGCTGACGATTTAAAAAGTTGGTGGCGTACTCATCGAGTGTCTTGTCATCCAAAGCGCCATTCCAACCAGTCATCTGCCGACGACCACACCACTGGTCGTCTTCAACCCAACGGAAGTAAAACATCGGAAACGGCAGATACTCATCACACATATCCTCAATAAAGTAAGCAAGGAAAGCGATCGCTGGATGAGGAGGAATGATGGAGCGCCCGTCATGCCGCTTCTCAAGGTCTAAAATGATGGGGGTTGAATCTGCCTTGTAGGTGCCATCGGGATACTCCACCACCGGCACCACACCTTTCTTCGCTTTACTTAAGGCTGTTTCCACAGACGCAACATCGCTGCCTAAATCGTTAGCCCCGGTGAATCCGCCCATTGGCACCAGCCAGGTATGGGGAATACGGCGGTACCGAAATACTGCACGCACTTTGTGTGAGTAAGGTGACGCTGGACCCGCATAAATATGATAAGTCATGGATTAATCCCAACTGCAATAAAGGTATGGAGTGTTCAATGTACGCTCGAACTCACAGAGAAGTTATCACATCCCGCATAACACGAGACCAAATCCGAAACAGATAGAAAGACGTTTTGCATCTAGATACGCTGCCAGAGTAACGTTTAAAGTAGCAGCACCCTGCAAGGACATCATCAAGGTGAAGGACAACAAACAACGCGAAATGTTGGAGCGCCTGAGGACTCACCTGGCTAACAAAACCACAGACAAAGCACCACATAGCCTGCAAGTTCCAGCCTCACACTACGTGAGCGAGGAGCAACTTGAGCATGAGTTAGAAATGTTGTTCAGAAAGCGCCCTTTGCTGGTAGCGCTGACGCCACATATTCCAAACCCTGGTGACTACTTAACTCATGAGGCAGTAGACACCAGTTTGCTGCTGGTACGCGATCGTGCGGACAACGCGCGTGCCTACATCAACGCCTGCAGACATCGTGGGGCACGCCTGGCAGAAGGCATGGGTAACAAAGCCACCTTTTCCTGCCCCTTCCATGCGTGGAACTGGGGTCTGGACGGGAAAATCATTGCCAGACCCAACAGTCACGAAGGATTCGCGGCTGCGGACGCCCGCTACGACCAATTGCTTGAAGTACCTTGTTACGAAACGGCAGGATTGATTTTCGTGTTACTGGAGGGCGACGATATAGAAGCTAAGGTCCACAACATGATGGGGGCAGCCTTAACCGAACTCGCAAACTACGATATTGCGGACACACAATACATCGACAGCCGAACCACAGAGCTGGCCTGTAACTTCAAGTTCTTTCTTGATGGGTTTGCTGAGTCTTATCACATTGCGCCATTACACAAAGACAGTATTCATCCGTTCTATTATTCGAACTCAACCCTGGTTGATCAGATGGGTGAGGTGGTTCATCTGGTATCGCCGCGGAAGACCATCGACAAAGAGTTTGCTAAGCCCGAATCAGAACAAGGCCAGGTGCTCCCATACTGTACAACCGAATATCTGATCGCGCCGAATGTACTGCTCACCCACCAGGTGGACCACATTCAATTCTGGCGTGCCTACCCCGTTGATGGCGCCAATCGCTGCCGCGTTGAACTCAATGTGTTCTGGCCTAAACCCCTGGATGCAGAAGCCGAGCGCAAAGCAAATCTTAATGTTGATCTCGTTTGGCAGGTAACCACCGAAGAGGATTTCCCACAAAGTGTTGCCATTCATCGCAACCTGAAAAGCGGCGCCCTGCCAGAACTGGTATTTGGCCAGCATGAACCCGCACTCATCTACTACCACCAGAACATCGCCAAAGCGATTGGTAGCGACCGCCTGATTCCACTCGTTCCGATAGCCGACTAGATCAGCCACGCTCATCCCCAGGTGGACGTACGTTTCACATCAGCTCTATAATGGTTCCATTATGGAGCCAGAATATGCCTGATCTATCTATTAAAAATGTGCCCGAGCACGTGGTCGCCAAACTGCGTCAACGAGCAGTAGACCACCACCGGTCTTTACAGGGCGAGCTGCTGGACCTTGTCTGCCGCTCCACCGAAGAAGATGCCCTTGAGCCCACAAGCATTGAGAAAGAAGGTGAATCATCCGGCTGGTTATCCATCGAAGAACTCGCAACTGAACTTAAATTATCGCAGCGCAAGGCAACCACCACCGTACCGCTCGCGGTAGATCTTATTCGGCAGGATCGCGACGCAAGATGAGCCGTGAACTGTTTGTTGCAGAACCTGTGAAGACCTATCACACGCTTCCCCCAATTGTTGTGGATTGCAGCCTGCTGGCAGCGATTCTGTTCAATGAGCCTTCGCAAGAGGAAGCGCTTAAACTGCTTTCCGGAAAATCTCTACACGCACCGAATCTTATTGACCATGAGATCATCAGCGTCGCTGTCAAAAAATCAGAAGCTAAAGCTGGAGAAGTGGTTACCAGAGGGTTAGACGGTTTTAGAAAGCTCAGGTTAGCTCGTCACAACATCGACCACCACGCCCAGTTCGAGCTTGCTCTGCGCCAGAAAATATCCGCCTACGACGCTGCCTATTTGCAGCTTGCTGTATCACTCAACGCCCCACTTGCTACCTATGATCGTGTACTGGCCGCAGCGGCCAGCAAGGTGCTTTCGTCGCGATAACAATCTGATTGGTTGGTCGAAGCCACGATAGCGATCGGTCGCAGCCTGTCGAGCTAACGACTAACATCTTCGGGCTTAAACTGCTCACCCGTCCCCGGTAGAAAATAGGGTCCATTGGGACCGCTAAACCCTTGCAGGAAGGTGACCGAAGTCTCCAGGGTGAGTTCACGTCGGGTGTTGAGTGCAGCAACCAGCGCCTCGTAGTCTGGCCCGTTACCGCCGAGCGAAACGGCATCACGAGTCGCCTGCCAATGCTCAACGCTGGCATAGCGGGTCACCAGTATTGCCTCGTCATATTCAAGACCATTATCCTGGTGCACGGTAAAACCAGAATTCTCCATACCGCCCGCTTGATCGTTCGGTTTTACATTGATGACCTGCCACATGCCGACCACTCGGGCGCCAATCTTTTCAAAGTAGGGCCATACTCCGCTCTGGCTTGCATGCAGAAACTGCGGGAAGCTACCCTTCCTGATCTTCCAATGGCGCATGGTTGTTATCGGGGTCCCCGTGGCTACAGCAACCTGATTGCGCACCGGCACAGGCGCCTGATCCTGCGCTTGAACTTTATCAACGGCAAACAAAACAAAACACGTTACAACTAACGAATAATAAATTCGCATATCCAACCCTCCAGCTAAATAGTTAAAAACATCATAGTAAAGGCAGACCTACTTCGGCTCCGAAGCCAGTCGCTCTGGCGTTAAAGATGAAAGTGGGCCCAGCGACAGGAGCCTGGGAAACAGGCCACACCAGCTGCCAACAACTACCAGCGTCCCAACGCCCCCTGCGACCACCGAAATGACCGGCGTGGTTAGTTCTGCGACCAGCCCTGATTCGAAACCACCCAGCTCATTGGAAGAGCCAATGAAGATGGAACTTACGGCTGAAACCCGTCCGCGCATTTCGTTTGGCGTACTCAGCTGAGTAATGACCTGGCGAATCACCATGCTGACGTTATCGAATGCGCCGGTCAGTGCCAGTGCTGCCATTGAAAGCCAGAAGTTCGTAGAGATGCCGAACACAATGGTTGCTACGCCAAAACCGGCCACTGACCAGTAGAGAATGTGACCGGATCGCCTGATAGGTGGCAGGTATGCCAGTAGAAGAGCCATCACAACGGCACCGGCGGCAGGTGCGGCACGCAACCATCCCAGAACTACTTCAGGTTCAAGTCCAAGCGCGCTGGCATCAACAATGTCTCGCGCAAATATGGGCAGCAGGTAAACAGCACCACCCAGCAACACAGCAAAAAGATCGAGAGAAATGGCGCCAAGCAACACCTGACGATGCCAGACGAACTTTAACCCCTCGACAACCTGACCAATCATGTTGCCGCGCTGGATTCGCGGTGCCTCTGGTAAGCGCATGCCAGCAAGAAAAAGGATAAACACCGCTGAAGACAGTGCACTCAGGAAGTATGCTGCCTGAATATTGATTGCTATCAGAATGCCGCCAAGGGCGGGGCCTGCAATCCCTGTGACCTGCAGCAGGCTTGTTCGCCACTTAACCGCGTTCTCAAACAATTCAACCGGAACAAGCAGCGGCAGGATGGCAGCGCGTGCTGGCCAGCCGATACGCAGAAACGTTGCATCAATGAACAGCAGAACATAGAGCCATTCGACCGGTACGTTGTTGTAGCTGGCAATGCCTAAGGCGAGTGAAGAAATGGTGGCACCCAGAAGGCTCCACATCATCAGTTTGCGACGATCAAAGACATCAGCAAGGTAGCCTGCAGGCAGCGTGAACAGCAACATGGGAATGGCTTGCACCAGGCCAACCAGGCCCAGGGACAGAGCGTTCTCGGTGCGGTCATACACCTCCCAACCAATGGCGAGGCTCTGCGCTGCGGTGCCCATGCCGACAAGGCAGGTCACCACCAGGAAGTTGCGGAACAAAGGGATCCGCAACGCAGCGTATGGGTCATGAGGATCTGGCAAAGCGTAAAGCCTGTCTGGGATTCAGCGATTCTACACCTTCACGTCTGTCAGTGGCTGACCCAGGCAAACTGCGCTCGGCACTCAAGTACTTTTAGCTCACCATCAAAAAGACGGTTATAGTTTCTATTGTCAGGCCAGGCTTCTGTTAACGCACTGTGCCAGTTAACGCAATTTTGGAGGAGAACCAAATTGAGCGACGATTTGCTCTTTGCAGGATTAAAAGTATTAGACGTTAGCTCATGGATTGCTGCACCCGCTGCCGCGGCTATTCTTGCCGATCTGGGCGCTGACGTTATCAAAATTGAACAACCTGAGGTCGGGGATGGGTATCGCAACTACTATCTGCTGCCCCCGAGTCCGAATTCTGAGATCAATTTCACCTGGGCACTTGATAACAAACACAAACGTTCCCTTTCCCTGAACCTTAAATCCGAGCAGGGCAAGGAGATTCTTCATCAACTGGTGGCGGCGTGTGATGTGTACATTACCAACCAGCCTCTACCCATGCGCCGTGCACTTGGCTTGATGTGGGAAGACCTGCAGCCGCTGAACGAGCGGATGATCTACGCCTCTCTGACCGGGTACGGCGAAGCCGGACCAGAAAAGGACAACGAAAGTTTTGATCTGGTGGCCTATTGGTCACGCTCCGGATTGATGCACCAGATGCGCCACAAAGGCACAGAACCCTTTCAGGCTATGGCTGGCATGGGTGACCACCCAACGGCTGTGGCGCTATATGCCAGCATCGTTACGGCGTTGTTAAAACGGGAGCGCACGGGTAAAGGTACTAAAGTGCACACCTCTCTTCTGGCCAATGGTCTGTGGTCGTCCTCCTGTTTTGCTCAGGCCGCCTGGGCAGATGCGGATTTTTCTCAGATTCCCGGCCAGCGTCTGACCACGGCGCTTTATGAAGCCAGCGACGGCCGCTGGATTCAGTTTTCCATGCTGCGCCAGGCGGAAGAGTTTGACCGTCTGCTCATTGCGCTGGGTCACCCAGACTGGCTGTTAGACGAGCGGTTCTCCACCCCTGAGAACCGGCTCGAGCATGCCGAAGTGTTTACGCAGATGATTCGTGAAGTCATCGCTCAACGCAGCTCTGATGAATGGATGGCGCTGTTTCACTCTGAAGATATTCCCGCTGCATTGGTGGCGCAATTCCAGGATTTACCCAATGACCCGCAGGTACTCGCCAATGATATGGCAATGCCAGCGGCGGAAAATGTTGGAATGGCACGCGTGGTGCGAGACCCTATAAATGTGGATGGTGTGGCTCGTGTGGGTGCGACCAGGGCGCCAGGCATCGGTGAGCACAGCGATGCAATTCTTAGAGAGCTGGGTTTTAGCGAGGAACAGGTTCTGCGATTTAAGCAGCAGGGTATTGTTTGATCACCGGCATTGAGTGACCCTGCAGCACGCTTTCTATGCGGAACAGCTTGAGATAACCCGACCGACACAACGTGCGCACATGTTCATGGTGTACTACCGCACGTTTGTGACTGCGGACGGCTTCCAGGGCGATCTGGACGACCATTACCAGGGGCTAACAACTGAGGTTGAACAACTCATCTCTGCGCAGTCGAGTGAATATTGGGAGAACGCCTTGCGTGCGGCAGGTTTCTCCTGTCTCAACCGTTCGTCTACCGCTTGAGCTCTATGAAGACAAACAGATCAACACCAACAATTTTCTACATCGATTTAAACACCCCTCAGCCGGCAACATGACTGTTGTTGCACCCCCATTAAGCCTGGATGGCGATGGGTTTAAACCAGGGGAGCCAACCCAGCCGTTTGGTTCGCAGACCCGAGGTCGATTCATTTATTGCGGCTGGAATTACCCATGATGGTTTGGCGTTCGAACTGCTGACCACTGGGCAAAGCAATTGAAATTCAGCACCAGTTCCATTGCATTAGTGTCAGCCGGCGTATTTCTTGCCTTGATCGCCAGCCTGGTCGTTGCTGGCAAGTTGCCATCAGTGATGATTGCAGTCTATTTTGGTGCAAGCATCGTGGCATTCATAACCTACGCCTGGGACAAGTCTGCTGCCCGAATTTGTGAGGGCTTTCTGGGGAACCGTCGTTATCAACAGCATCGCGCTTGTCTGGTTTATGCCCCCTCAAGGTCAAAAACTTTTGGAATCCATCATCGCTTCTTACTTGTGAAGCCCTGGTGCTTTATATAGATCAGACAGTTCGCTCAGTTCTTCTATTTGCTGGCTTCAAAGTCGAAACCGACGTAGCCATCTTGCGCCACCTCCGCCAGTCGCTCGAAATACTGCGAGCCACGCAGGTGCGCCAGGAACTGGCGCGGCTTGCCCGGTATATTTGCGCCCACATACCAGGAATCGGTTTTTGGGTACAGCGTCTGGTCTGCTGCTGCGTTGATTTCTTTGTCCCAGTTCACCGCAGCTTCTTCGGTGGCCTCTATGGCACCAAGATCATTGTCGCGCAGGTGGCGGATACTCTCCGCGATCCAATCTGCTGTTCGCTCACCGCCCAGTGGCATGGTGTACAGGACCCCCGGGGATCCCGGGCCATGGATCATGAACAGATTCGGAAAGCCGGCAATGGTCGCGCCGAGGTAGGTTTCAAAGCGCTCCGCCCACTTCTCCTTGAGACTCACCCCACCGCGACCTTTCGGGTTCAGGTTTAACATGGAACCGGTAACCGCATCAAAACCGGTCGCAAGCACCAGCATGTCGATGGGGTGTTCACCCTCCGTGGTTTTCACGCTCGAAGCGGTGAACGACTCAATAGGATCCTGGCGAAGATCGACCAGCGAGACATTGTCCCGGTTGTAAGTTTCAAAGTAGCCATTGTCGAGAATCAGACGTTTGGTGCCAAAATAGTAATCGGGCATCAACTTCTCCGCGGTTGCAGGGTCCTGCACAATCTCTCGAATTTTGCCGCGCACAAACTCCGACACTTCATCGTTGAGGTCTTTGTCAGTCAGTACCGTGCTGAAACTGTTGATCGCCAGATTGATGCCACCCTCATCCCAGAGTTGTTCATAAATTTCATGGCGCTGCTGTGGTGTGTAGTCTGATGCATTTCTGCGGATCGTCTTGTGCGGCCAACCTCCGCGGTGAAACATCGATTTGCGCAGGTCCTCCCAATCCTCGCGGGAACGGGCCAACTCCTCTTCACTCAGGGCGCGGTTACGTGCGGGTAATGAGTATTGTGGCGTGCGCTGGAAAACCGTGACGTGTTCAGCCGCCTTGGCAATTTCTGGAATCGACTGAATGCCTGAAGAACCGGTGCCGATGACACCCACGCGCTTGCCGGCAAAAGATACTGTCTCGTGCGGCCAGCGACCGGTGTGATAGCACTCGCCCGCAAAGTCATCAATGCCTGGATAATCGGGTTTGTTGGCCACAAACAACGCGCCGACGGCGCAGATTAAGAACTGCGCCGATGCCGTTTCGCCGGTATCGGTGGTAATGGTCCAACGCTGCTCACTCTCGTTGTAGCGGGCATCGGTTACCCAGGTTTCAAACTGTATGTCCTTGTTGAGATCAAACTGCTCAGCAAAATTTTCCAGGTAGGCCAGCACCGAGGCCTGGGGCGTCTGGGTTTCACGCCACTCCCAACTGTCGACAAGTTCCTGCGAAAAAGTATAGGCATAAAACGGGCTGCTGGGTGCATCAACCCGGGCACCGGGATAGCGGTTGTACCACCACGTCCCACCAACGCCACCGGCACTGTCAAATGCCCGCACATTGAGATTCATCCTGTCGCGCAGGTGATGCAGTGTATACAGACCACTGAAGCCTGATCCGATAATGATGGCGTCGTATTGATTCGAATTTTCTTTCATGTGTAACTATTCTACTGGTGTATCGAGACCTTTCACGGGTTTGTAGTAGGGCTTGTCGCCAAGACTCTGTACTTTCTTCTGCCAGTTAGCGCCAGCTTCCTCAGGCGTATACGACCAGTCCTGACGGTGATAATTCCAACTGTCCGGGTTCAGCGTCTGGGCCATCTGCCAGTAGGTGTCAGCGCGCGCTTCGTCACCCTGCTGTTTGAAGTAAACACCCAAACGGAAAGCAGGCACGGCGCGGGCGGCATCTGGGCTCTCCTTTTGTGCCTCAAATTCGATGGACTGTGCCACATGGACACTGTCTTCGCCGCGTACAACCCAGTCAGCCACCATGGGTGCATAGTCGGCGCGACCAAACTCAAAATCGCCCATCTTGTGTACCGTGGCGTAAGCGCCTTCATCTATACGGCGCACCTGACCTGTTTCGTCTATCCAGACTGCGGAGGGCACATTGACCAGGTTGTACAGCGCGCTGACACGGTGAGTGGGATCAGCCAGCGCCACAAAGGTGGCGTTGGCGGCCGTATACCAGGGCGCAGCCGCCTTAATCCCCTCTACGTCCTGGGCCGCGGCGATAATGATGAAATCTTGCTGTTCGAGTTCTGCGAAAACGTTCTGCCAACCTGACAGATCAAATCGGCATCCTCACCAGCTCGCCCAGGTGAGCAGCATGATCTTCTTGCCTTTGAAGTCAGACAGCGACACGGCATTGCCCTGCATGTCCTGCAGACTGAAATCAGGGGCGATGCCCTGCTGGGTAAAGTACTGACGACTGGCGGGTATGGCGCCGAAGCTCCAGGTGCCGCTGGCGTAATCGACAACATACGGTTGACGCAGTCGATCGGCCAGCTCAGTGACACTGAACCAGGCCTGGCCTGCCCGTCTGATGAATATGGAACTGTCCTGATTCTGCTGCACCGGCACACAGATGTCTTCAAAACAGGCACCTTCAGGTTTCAGCTCAAAGCCATTTACCGCGGGCAGATCCACCGGACGCACCCACAGATCGGTGGCGTCAGCCAGAACGTGTTCTATTTCAACCACGTTATCTTCAAACAGGACGGTGGCCCCGGGACTTGCGTTTGTCAGCGCAAAAGGCGCCCACATCAAACTCACCACAAGGGTGATCTTCCAGCCGTTAAAGTGACGCATACACGGGTCCTACTGTTGATCCAATCAGCCTAATACGGAAGTAAGCGCAATGCACTATTTAAGGGCTGGCCGGCCTCGTTGTCGAACTCGGGTGAGTTGTTTCCACCAACAGTTATCTAACAGTCCCTGATTCACCACCCGGCTTTGGCGTGTTAGGGTCCCCTTGACTGTTTTTAGATAAAAAAGCGGCGCCTATGAACGCACCCACAACGTCGGCGAGTGCTGGCAGCCAGAACAAACCGCTGCCCGCTCGCACTTTAATGGCTTATTCGGGTATCACCATTCCTATGGCGGCGATGGGTATGCCGGTTGCCGTCTACCTGCCGCGTTTTTACACCGAGGGACTGGGCCTGTCGCTGGTCACCGTCGGCACCATTTTCACCCTGGCACGCATCTGGGACGTCATCACTGACCCGGTCATGGGTATTGTCATTGACAAGTTTGATACCCGTTGGGGACGCCGCAAACACTGGATTGCACTGTCGATTCCCATCCTGCTGGTTTCGGTGTGGATGATCTTTATGCCGAACGAAGAGAACGTATCTGCGCTCTACCTGATGTTCTGGCTGATCGCGCTGTATGTGGGTTACACAATGCTGGCCATTGCCCACCAGTCCTGGGGCGCTGAGTTGTCGCACACCTACGATCAGCGCTCGAGGCTGTTCGGTTACCGCGAAATCTTCGTGATCGCCGGCATGACGGTGGTGCTTGCGATTCCCGCGACACTGGAATTAACCGGTTACAACGACCAGGCGTCTAAGGTCGCATCAATGGGTTGGTTCTGCCTGATCCTGTTCCCGCTGCTGGTCCTGCCGACGCTGCTGTGGGTCCCGGACAGTCACCAGAGCGCCCGCTCGCACGTGCCCTGGGATGAAGCGATTAAAGTACTGGTTGGCAACACCCTGATGTGGCGACTGCTCGCTGCTGATCTTGCCTCCGGGTTCGGCACCGCGGTATCCGGTGCGCTCTACATTTTTGTGGCGGCGACCTGGTTCAAGTTGCCCGAACACGCCAGCGTTGCCCTGCTCTTCTATTTCCTGGCGAGTTTTCTCGCCATGCCATTATGGCTGAAGCTGGCCTACAGCATCGGCAAAGACAGCGCTCTGAAAGTTGCATTGCTGTACGCGGTGGTCATCAACATCGGCCTGATCCCCGTAGCCCAGGAAGGCAGCGTCTTCATCCTGTGGGCGTTTACAATTCTGTATGGCATCGCGTTTGGCGCAGCACCTACGCTGCTGCGTTCCATGATGGCGGACCTGACCGACGAGGATGAACTTAGGTCCGGTGAAAAACGCTCGGGCCTGTTTTTCGCCCTGCTGACGACAACCAACAAACTGGGTGCGGCGCTGGCTGTCGGCGCGAGTTTTGCCGTGCTTGAGCTGGCGTTCGGATTTGTACCCGGTGGTGAAAACTCACAGCAGGCACTCGATGGCCTGCTGATCACTTACACCGTTGGCACCGCCGCGGGCCTGTTCCTGGCGTACGTCTCACTGATCGGCTATCCGCTGAACAAGGCGGCGCACGACAAAATTCGCCAGCAACTGGAAACCAGAGCCGCCTGAGCAGCCTTGTCACCGATTCGGGTGTCGGGCATCCGGTGGCAGCGTGATGCCAGGACCGGACTCCAGCTGAACTCGCAATTGCTCGCATTCCTGCAGCGCCATCGTCTTACGTGCACCCTCAAAACCACTGATCAGGCGACCGGCCGGCGTCCAGTTCATGTAGAGATCGCCATCCATGTATTGGGTTCGAAGCTCACTTGCCATGGCGTTGTCGTTTTGCAGACTCGCCGCCACCGCGCCGCTGACCGCTTCTGCCGCTTCTCTACTGCCGGGCGTGCATACAAGGGTCACTGATGCAGGTGCATCAGGCGCCTTGCCAGCAAAGGGCAATATATCCGGGAGTACCTGTATAGGCGTCGTCAGTTTCAGGGGCACCGACGTCCCTACGTCATAAGTCAGTTCAACAAAGTACGCCTTCCACCCCTGCTCCGGCGTTTGCACTTTAACCCGATAAAGCCCGTCCGGGCTGATGTTGACCGGGCTTGCCTGGTAAGCCGAACCAATCATCTCCAGACGGAAGTCGCGGGCCCGAGGATTGTATGCCTGCCACAATTGCACCTTAGCCGGCTGCCGATCCGACATGACCTGCAGCGTGCCATCTTCTGTCATCTTCCAATCAATGTGGGGTGGCTTCTGCCGTTGACTCACCATCGCCTGGAAGGCAGCAACGGTTTCGATGGCGTCGCTGCCTGCCAGGCTGTGATCAGCGTTCGGTACGTACCGCAGGTAGGCTTCGCCTCGCAACTGGTCCCAATAAAACTGGGCGCTGTCCGGCAGGAAAAACTGATCGCCGGAAGCGTTCAAAATCAGCTTTGGTATGTGTAACCGGTGCAGGTATTGCAATGGGTCGATGAGGTCATACATGGTCTCCAGGCGCGAGCTTTTAAAACGCCGCATGATCTGATGATCCACATAGTCGCCGATGGCTACCGCCCAGAAGCCATAAGCCTCAAAGTGATGCAGCATGGATGTGGATACATTGGCGATGTCTATAACAATGGGCGCAATGGCGATCACACGCTTGTCCATGGCACCAGTGAGCCACGTGGTCCAGCCGCGTTTACTGCCACCAGCAACCATGTATTCTGCTACCACAATGTCTTGCGTTGCAGCGATCTCCGTAACGGCATCCATGCCTTTGACGGCACTTTTCACCATGGCGTTACGGGCCAGCCACTTGCTGTCTTCACCGTCCAGAAACCTGTCCCAGCCATAGGCAATGAGATCATCTTCATAGCGCAGGTTGCCGTCCCCATGAAATTCTAACGGCTGGTTAGGTACCATGCCTAATTCGGCGGTTACGGTTCCGGTGGTCAATGCGATGCGGGTCAAATGCTCCGGCGGCGCTTCCGGAGCCGGGTCGAGATTGCTGCCGCCACCAATCCACAACAAGCCGACATCGCTCTTCACCTGCTTTGGTATCACGATACTCAACCAGTGGTGCCAGACTGGACGGTCTACTTCCTGTTCGGTCAGCCATTGTTGTGACACAAGTTCCGCAACGATGAAAGTATGGGTGGCTTCTTCCGATTGCTTGACGATTTGCCAGCGATAGTTTGGGTCTTGTGCCTGCACGTATTGATCAATGTCTGTTTGTTGAGCTGACGCCGCCCAAGCGGGGACGATAAAGCACACCAGAAGCAGCGCTATCCGCATTTTTCTCTCCTGTTAATCACGCTTTAGATTCGCACGAAACAGGTGGTGGTGCTACCTTCCTGGGGGGTGGCGCTTGTGCCTGGCGCCAACGACGGTACTAACGTATCGACCGACTGTGGTTGGCGAATTGGTAGTGACTGCAAAATGGCGGATCAAATCCCAGCCTTGGAGCTGCTGGATGCCGATTTACGCAAGGTCATCGGTAGTTCAGTTCAATCACTTTCTGGTGGCGACAGAAGCGGAGGCAAGCTGAGTTGAAACGAGTCTAGTTGAGGATGATGTGATACCTGGATTTACTTTCAGGCAATTTGGGAATGCACGGGATAAGGCCGTCTTCTTTCAGTAGCTAAGCAGACACAAGCTTCAACCACCCTTACCGGCAATTTTGTGCCCAGAGCGGACCATTTCCTTTCCTGTAACATGCGACCCAAGTTAGGAAATTTATAGTTAGGCTTCTTTAGTGCTGCGATTCTACCCTGAAAAAACGAAGATCATTTTCTTCGACCTTGAGTACTATGTCCCGGAGAGGGATAGAAAGCGGACAACTCCGAGCGGGATGAAGTTCAATCCAACTCTACCGGATCACAAGATTCTAGGTGGGACGTTTTCGACTTACTTCCCTATGGAAAACCGGTTAAATCGAAGCAATAGCTTTTGGGAATGGGAGCAAGGCTCAGAACAGAACGTCCTCACAGCCATATTCGAGTTACTGCAACGAGAGTGGAAGTCGATCGAAGCGAAGGATCAAGCTGCGTCTCTGATGTTGTCAGGGATAGGAATTTCTCACAGTGATGTTCCTGCCCTAATCGCGCGACTATTTTCCTCTTCTCTTTTCCCTGCGGAACGAGTTTATGACGTAATCTGCAGCTGTAGACAAATCGATCTAACCACGGCGACGTTCAGTCAGTTCGCTTCTAAGCATGCATATTTTGCTTACCCTAAGAGTAAGTCAGGTCTGTACCAAAAATACCTCTCGAACAAAAAGATGGATTCTGGTGAATCAGTTTGGGACCTCTATGATCAGAGTGACTTCGGTGCAATCGAAACGCGAAATGTCGAGGAAGTAGCTGATGCGATAGCGATCTACAAAAATATGTTTGATCTAAAGAAGCAAAACGAGATTTCCCTCAGAAGATTGAAGAGGCTAGAGAAGGCCAATCATGACAATCGCAACTTGCCTGATGACACCTAGCAACCTGATGCAGAGAACGCATTACCCCCTGTCATATTGAAAATCTAACTTCCGCTCCTGGCCGAATCAGGCGCTAGCTAGGGGCCTCGTGAATGCCGACTTTCGAGCAAATCGGCCTTATTTTGTGATCTGCTTCAAACTAAGCTCCTAAGCAGACCTAATCGGGGTGTTGGACGGTAGACTGAAAAGTGCCCTAATCAGACGAATACTGTATTGAATGTGAACCCTTCGCCAGCCGACAGGGACAACAGATGATATAAGTACTTAAATCGAAGCGTCCATTTGGGATTTAGGATGGAAGTCTAATGGACCATAAAATCGTAGTTATAGTCGCCACCGTTGCTCTGCTAGGAATAGTAATTGCTGTCGCGACTGAGAAGGCGCGGTCACCTCTGGGGTGGATCTTGTTGTCCATCTTTATTAGCCCCCTTTTGGCACTCCTATTGCTTCTTATACTAGGGAAGCCTAGCTCCGGCAGGTTAAGAAAGTTCAAGGAAATGGTGGGGAGAAGGCCTAAAAGGTACTGCCCCTTCTGCGCAGAGAAA